CATAACATTAGACTATATTTAAAAGTTTTAACTGACTGCACTCTCACGCAATACACGTTCACGCCAAGCTTATAAGGTTATTAAATGAAATATAGGCAAATTAATATATATACTAAGTAATAAGCAAGAATACTAATAAAACAAACCTTAAATCCAAAGACCCAAACTCTAAGTTGACTAAATAAAGAAAATCTGAATGAACTTCAAAATCTGCCTCGCCCGGGAAACAACCAGCACGCGAATGAACTCACAAAACAAGATAACCAATAAGAAATCAAAACAACTTTAACAAGTCACCCGTGTCGAAAGGCCTAGCTAAATATAGCAGTTAAAACACAGACTGATTCGTATTTCTTTCAATAAGTATTTATTTTATTTGTTATTTATTTAACTGAGATAAATTCACACATACACATAATAATATTTACATATACACAAAATACACATTTTCTAAATATATACAGGATATCACATTTATATCAACTTGTCAAGATCTTTATGTCGACTTGGACAATAATCATCATGAATAGGAACTCGGTATTGCTTGGTGACCTCCCTCCCCCGCCCCCCCCCCCCAACTGAAATTGCTTCCCACGGGCCTGGATAGACAACATACTCTTTCTAAAATTCGAAGTCCTACGATCTATACGGAGAAATGCTATATACACTTTATGCATGAATTAATGATCATGTGACCGTTAAATAAAAAAAAAAAAAAAAAAAAGGCATATAGCAACTGTTCCTTCGCCAAGCGCTCGGCACTTTGAAGCATATGGGCTTGTCTTCCGGATTGTTGAATGTAAAATAAATTAACAAAATTTTGAATCTACTTTAAATTCACTTAAAAGTTGTTAAAATAAAGATTCTGACACTTTCAGTCAAGAAAAACCACGTTTTAACTGGTTCTGATCAATACATAGGGCTCACGGCGGGCGTGAACGGTCCGCAGGGGATGCTTACTCCTTCTAGGCACCCGATCCTTGTATTGATCAGACATACGGAGTACTCTGTAGTCAAATTTAGTATAAAAGCACTGACCTAACAAATGGTACCAAACAGTCAGACGACAAAATGACCTAACACTAGGTTGTATTTACAAACAAGGACGTATTATAAAGACCGTAACATTTGCAAAAAAGTTGACTTTAAAAGGGATTGTTAAAATCCTTGTCTGGTGTTCCCAGGGATGCGTGTTTTTGCCCTGTTCACGATTCGATTTGTTTATTGAATTTATGAAATTGATCACTGTTCGTTATCTTCACATTTTACATTAGCTGAAACGATGTGCGTGAAATAATTATCACACCGTGATCTTTTAAAGGAGGTGTGTATACCACGAGAGACGGTTGTTTTTGTCGCTGATACCACTTTCTAATATTTCGTATCTTTCGAGAGTTCTTGAAAAGTTTGGTTTAAAATATGGCAAGCTTCGGTGCGCTTCCCAAATTTTAAAAATAAAAATAAAATTTAGTGCTTTACATTTCCAAAGGTGCAAGTAAAAATAGCTTGATTAATTTTAATCAAGCAAACGAGCCCTGAAGACTTGAAGGCTCTGAGATGTGGCTACGTCAGGGGACAGAGCTTTCCAATCCCTGATGGTCCTGGGATAAAATGATTCTTTCTGAACTTCGGTGTTACTGGATGGAACTTGGAAGGAATGTTCTCCCATTTTACGGCTAAGTCTAGTTTATCAGTTGTTTCGATTTAATTAACTAGCCCATTTCTAATCTCTTTCTTCTCTCCTCCAGAGATTGCCAATTTAGGGTGTTCAGCATATCTCTAACCGATGAGGTGTTGTGATATCGGTTGGTCACATATCTAGCTGCACGGAGTTGGACCATCTCGATTATATATATATATCCTCTTTCAAGTACGGGTCCCAGGTAGTACTAGCATATTCTAGGGTAGGTCTTACAAGTGACTTTCTCTTTGATGTTTGCGTTTCAGTTACGTTTTAGGAAGCTAATGGTATTGTTAGCTTTCTTGCAGATATTGGATATATGTTGGTTCCATTACAGATCTGATGTAATTGATACATCTAGATATTTTGCTGTTGTTACATGTTTAAGTTGATGACCATGAAGGTTGTAATTCTTCATAATGGGTTGCTTTTTCCTAGATATAGTGAGTATATACATTGCATTTTTCTGGATGAAAACTCATTTTCCAAGTCTCTTCCCATGCTGCAAGTTGGTCGAGGTTTTGTTGTAGATAGGTTGCATCGATGTCTGATGTTATTGTTAGATATTTGTGAACCTAATATGGACAGTCGAATTCTGTTTAACACCCAAACTCAATAAATTGGTGCAATTCAAGATATTTTTTCTTCAAAAATCGACTTTTGATTATCCATCTGCTAACAACATTTTCGGATAGATTAACATATCAAGTTTGTATTCCCAAAGATTTTTCAAGTTAAGTTCATTGGTTAAGAAATTACGTCAAATTGAAATAAAGGTGTATTGTTGATCATTATTTGCTGAGAAACAAGCGTTACGTATTATATAATAGTTTTCCTTGAAGATTTTAGGATGAAACAATATAGAATATAATAAATCCTCAATGTCAAAAGCAAATCAGTCTATTTACTTTCGTGATAAGACAAAAAAGCTCAACTGTCATAATGTATTTTATGAATTAATGCAGTCAAATTGTCGTATTATATTTTTTCTTCAAATGAATTTGACACATCTCTAAAATTTTATATTTCAAATATGCCTCAAGAAAAATCAAAACTGCCCAGCGCAAATGGGAGTTCTAAATGAATAGAGGATGCATTTATAGAAACGTTAAATAAAATGTTGTTCATGAATTGTGATCTTGTTTTTATTTACACTTTCAAATGCAACAACGTTCGTATGTAACGAATGTTTCATGAGAAGTAATATTTACTGTTTTTAAGATTAATTCCAACAAAATGGACCAATTCATGAGATGTAATTTCTGTTCTACTTGTGCCATTATATTGAAAATGTCAAAAGAAATCATAATTTGAACTGCGTCATTTATATCATTGTAGACGTTGATTTTAATAACAACGAAGACTGGATTCAATTAATATAGATCTATTGCATATTCCATATGTACAGGTCATGTTATGTGTAGTTCTGTAAATAAAATATTAGCAGCTCCATACTATGCTGTCTTCACAACATTGTTTTTCTACCAATACCACAGATGACAATGAATGGACGCAGATGCTCAACATTGATGAAAATAATTTAACTAGGAATCAAATTCGAGAAGGACAGAAATTAATCAACAAATATTCAGACATCTTTTCAAAATCTGACACAGATATTGCTAACTTGTGTAACATCTGTTGAACTGTAGCATCTGGACCAAGCTGCATAATGGCTTTACTAGCTTCACTTCTGAGTGAGCGTCTTATGGCATGTCCTATCGTTGCTTCACTATATTGCGATTTAATCAAACACTCCACCTCATAGTGCCATATGTCATAGTTGTCCTCTTTCCTTCCATCTCCCATGAACACTGATATTTTCGGAACAAAATTTGAATTCTGAATAGTTGTTGTTTTGGTGGTAGATGTTGTTGCTGTTGAGCTTGTGGTGCTACTATCTGTTTCTGTTTTCACAGGCATATTTGCAACGAAGTCTCTCATCCAATCTGTAAAGTCCTGAGTAGTGTCTGCTTTAGGTTTGACCTTTAATTCCTTGAATGCTTTTGCAATATTTTCGAGTTCCTCTGTTGTTAAATCATCCGACATGTTTGTTGTTTTCTTGTAGATACTTAAGTAAACTTATAATCTAACTCTAATTGCTAAACTAACTATAGTACTAATGATAATTAAATAACTAACAAACTAACTTAACTATACCTGAAAAAAAAAATATAAGAATTATCCTGAAAAAAAAATATGTGTGATTTAAAGTCTAACTTATCTACATAATTCAAATCAAATCTCTTAACTAAGAATTTCTAAACTAAATAGCAAACCTCTTTAATTGTAGCTGTAGTCTTCGGATAGTAACGTCAAAATGCACGAAATAACGCGAAGTGCAAACAATATAAATAGCAAATGTCAAATAATAATATGGGATCAAAAATATTTTCAAATTCAGTAATGCTCAATGGTTCACACCAGTATATTCAATCTGAATCAAGTGGTTTGAAGAAGCAATCAATTACAGACAACCTTCTGCAATAATGTACCTACACATGTAGATCTTTTAACTACAGACAATTCTTTTGATCAGATGAAAATATGACTAACTTTAACCACAGACTCAAGGTCTCAATATCAACTGACAACAACAAACATTTTGATCAGATAAGCGTGGTAGGTCTTACTGTCATAAAGGTTTTGTCAATTAATAAAGTTTAGTGGTTAATATTTTACCTTAACCTCTTGTTAATCTGAAATCTCTCACACTCCCTGATCTGTGACTCTTTCTTCAAGGATATGCTCAATCAGTGTCAAAAAATGGAGGTACACACAATGATGGTGATGAATAAGGTGATGTCAATGCAAAATAAATAAATAAACATATGAATAAATAGCATGTATCAAGACAAGCACAAGTGTAAAAGATTTACAAGACTGTCAAGAGATCAGCTGATTGACAATGCACAAAATAATTCAATTAAATGTCAAATAAATATTAATTGTTCAATTCACAAAAGTGATCAATATCACCGTAATTGAATGTTCAGAAAATGTCTTTCTTAAAGTTCATTCACAGTCAAGTTCCTCGCTGCACGTAAAAATTAAAATAATTTTACCGACACATGTTTACATGGAAGCCATGATGGTTGGAATATTCTGCAGTCCGAACCCGATGATATGCGACACCAATCTTGGTCTTGGCGGATCCAACAGGCACGTGACTACTTTCCCGCCCTGGATACGTAACTGTTAGTGGTCAATGGTGGTGTCGCCCCACGTTGGGCGCCATTTGTAGACGTTGATTTTAATAACAACGAAGACTGGATTCAATTAATATAGATCTATTGCATATTCCATATGTACAGGTCATGTTATGTGTAGTTCTGTAAATAAAATATTTAACAAATAATTCACAGACAAACAAACATACACAAACATCACACAAAACACTGAATTTTCTGGCTAAGGGAAATAACTCCATTTTCCTCATAACTTTAAGGATCATCATAAAATAATCATTTCAAGCATTATATTATGCAATTCATTATCATAAAATAATTTACTTTTCACTATAAAGATATCCATTCATAGTATTCAAATGAAATTCTATTTACAACACAAATAGACATCACAATATACACAAACTTCACTAAACACAAAGCTTACCAAATATATGGTATATGAACCTGATCTTCTTGATTCTTAATTTCTCAGTCAGTCATAACTATAATAAATTATCACATAAAGTAAGTCTGACTGATTATTGGCAAAATATATTTAAAACTCATAAAAAATAATATTTTACAGTAATCTCATTCACATAACTTTCATACATCATGCTCATAATTAATAATGTTAAAATGTTAATAAACTGACCTGTTTAGTATATTTAAATTGTCCATATAAAGTCCATAAGGTCTGGTATACAAAATACACTGCTCATTCTAAGGATCTTTTTTGAATGTCTAAAAAAATTACTACAATAGTGAGCTTCTCACCAGAGTAGCCAATCAAATACCTGGGTTCACCCATGCATGAATAGCATGCTTGACTTAATGGGACACACTATGGAAAAGCCTTAGTGTAATAAATATATACAAACGCTCTTACTTATAACTATTTAAAGTATGGAAATACATTATGGACAAAAATTAAAAACAATAAGTCAATGCTGTATTTTTATTAGATAATATCTTTATTAATAAAAACACACGGTCACATCATCGTGTCATATTTTCCTTGAACTGTACTATATGTACAAACGGATAAGAGATATATGTAAAATTGTCTGTATAGACGTTTTAACAGAACCTAAAATAATGTAAATAACAATTTTTCTGATGACTTTTAGCTTGAAATCATTTAACCATCAATGGAAACTTCCTTCGTATTTCTGCTTGGGTCAATGCCAAAGTTCAACTAAAATAAAATTCTGAAACGTACGTTACTTAACATAAAATGCGAGTTTAACAGTATCAAAATTATAAGAGAGAAACAAAAAACCCTGATGTAGATTCAGAATAGAATCTCAAGCCTTTGTTTAATCAATATCATACGATTCAATCTAAAAATTTCTTTCAAAATAATTTCAATTAATGTTTTTCTTCAGAATTAATGTGTGTGTTCAATAATGCGTCTTTAGAATCAGTTTATATTAAAATTTATGCAACTTAAGCTTAAAATGATACAAATCAATCAATAAAGTTTACATTCGAACAATTAGTCATGAAAGAAATTCTGTAAATATTGTTGCAGTTTTGATATATGTTTTGTTAAAAATTTCGTAACATTCGTTACCTTCGGTAACGAATGTTTCAACCACTTTCAGGACTAATAGAGGACATTCAGGTGCAGATTGATACTGGTTGCGTAGTTGTTGTCGGTCGTTATATATAAATATTAACAGTTACATACTAATTCATTCCATTTGATTCATTGTTATTGCATTCTAGAAAACAAACTCACCAACACTGCCTAGACTTCAGAAGAAAATCATAAAAAGGCAGTACCGTACTCCGGATGTCAAACTTTGAATACTGGCGCAAAATATTTGACTACGTATATGTGCAGAAGATGTTTGAACTCATAAATCATTCTTTTTTAAGAGGTTTGGTAACGAATGTTTCGGTAACGGTTGTTTCATTTAATCATTTTCTCTTAAATAGTAAGCTAACAATAAGACATTGTTAAATCATGGTTGGAGCATGGAATACAGTTGTTGGATAGAAGAAAAAGTATCACATGTTTAACTATGATATCATTCTATTTCATCTATTAAACTAATACAACGAATGTTTCATGCCTATCCATACGCATGTAAAATAGGAAGATAGAATGTAATTTCAAAAAATTGGTAACATATACAAGGCTTTGTACCATTTATTTTTAATTTTCAAGAAGTTTACTTCAAAATAAAACGTATTCCAATCTTACAGGCATACAATACCGAATACACATACTATATTTAATGTCACAGTCCGTTTTTATTTTGTTTCTGGCGACATTGGGATATCAAATCAAAGTTTGGTAATATATTTGTGATTATGCTCAATAATTTATTAAAAGCATTTTACAAATAAATGTTTTGAAGACATATGCTATCTAATTAAAGATTCAACTGTTATTTGTACAAAAAATAGCCATTTAAGTGTAATTATTCGATGTTGGCGACAGTAACGTACGTTTCAAAAAATCACTTTATGCCAAATAAAATATCTCAATATGATTTGTTCACTTCATTTTTATATTTTTGCCTTAAAGGTTACATATTCATGCATTCATTCAAAAAGTATTTTCTTTGACATTTCATTATTTTTTTACCCTTAACCCCCAGCGACATCATTTGCACCATTTTGTTGAGCTTGAGTGTTAAACTGATAAATACACCCCGCACCCCACCCCTTATATATATATATATATATATATATATATATATATATATATATATATATATATATATATATATATATATATATATGTTTATTCACCAATCAAGGGCCCTCAGGGGGCATATACAATTATATATTAGGGATGTCAAATCGGTCAATATTTGATAATCGGTTACTCGGACGATTTTCCGATCGAGTACCCGGGTACTCGGAAAAAGTGTTTATACATGTAAAAGTTTGAGACCTGTTTACCACATCGATGTTTTCTTTCGTTTATAACATGCTATAATGCATGTACAATTTGTACATAAACATCGAGCCCAACGAAAACGATTTTTTTTGGTACTTAATTTATTTATCAAACAAACACAAAAGACATGATCAAATAATACACCAATAATTACAAATGCGTTACAGTTCTTATTTATGAAGACTATTTGGTCAACGGAAGAGAAGGACGCAACTTTGTAATGATAAGATTAGCGAGAGAGAATATCTTTGGGAACAGTGGGAATGGACTCTGTAGTGATCGCGAGTCGTATCCCAGATAGCATGCATACGTTGGGACAATGTTGGTCCAACGTAACACACTCTGTTGGCCCAACGTTGGCAAACAACGTTGGCGCAATGTCTAAGTGCACTGTGGCCCTTTGTTGGCCCAACATGTTGGCGCAATGTTGGCCCAACATAGTAATGTAATCATGTAATTGTAGGGCCAACATTGGGCCAACAATGTGTATCGCATTGTAACCGAAAGGCCAACGTTGGGCCAACGTTGTAAAAGTACATGTATATAAGGCCTACATGTATATAGTAATTGTATCTCCAACATCGGACCGACGTTGGACACGCATTCAACTTACGTGGTAAATGATTGGCTTTCAATCATAGAAGTACAACACAATTCCTGTATTTGTTTTAATTTCCATCATTCAATACAATGAATTTAATCAATGTTAGAAAATCAACTTGTTCCTCTTACTAATGTTTTAGAGAATTCAGGTCACTTTCATTAAGAAATCTAAATTATTGAATGCAATCAGCGGGGGAAAGGGATAGTTCAAATGTTTTTTGATTTTTTCCCAAGTATTTTCCACATCACTATTAATAATAATCACTTCTAAATTTCTCTAGTATAGGAATCCACTGTTTCAAACTTGTAGAATGTAGGAATGTGAATTAATTGTGCATTTTCTCCTGTCCATATATCACATTTGAATTGTCCATTTCTTTTTCCTGTCCATGCGATTGTTGTTTTTTTTATGATAGATCCATGTCTTTCAGGAAAATACTTTTACATCAAAGGCCATATGACACAGAGGATTTTTTCTCTGCCAGTTGCTATGAATGTTAAAAATACCAAACCATTAAATAAAGTATTTTTCTTACAAACAGATTAGTAAATATAAATGAACATTTTGAAACAAGTGTTATTTTTTAATAACTTCTTCAATAATTTTTACATTGTATGTAAGTTAAGTTTTAACAAAACATAAAATTCTATCAATCACACATAACAATTTTACTTACAATTCAAGGGCTAAAATAATCCATTTTCTCTTTTTTGAGTAACAAAGTATGCTTTGTTCCAGTGCGGGCGTGATAAGAAAATGACCGCTCTGAGTTTGCAAGATCTGATTAAGATGCTCGTCTCCTAGGTAACCGGCCAGTCCCCTGCTGAGCAAGTGAATTTCACCACTGACCTAATTATTTGGAGTTCTTAAACACAACACTTTAGTTCCAAGATGCTAAATATAGAATCTACAACTCTATTTATTGTGTGGAATTAAACTTCTACTTGCAGTTTTCGTACATTATTATAATCTTTAATATGATTTGATTGCTATTTTTCATAACTTGGATTCTGGTAGTATTTTTTCATTTCAATTTAAAACAAAATTAAGTGAGTAATTAAAAAGATATCTTCTCTTTTAACAGCCAGTTTATTATAATAAAATTTTGAAACTGAAATGCACCTCGGTTTGGCCAGCATTACATTCCCAGCACATAGTGACCATGTTCATGCTAACATTGGGCCAACGCTGGACCAACATAGCTGTTACCAGCTTAAATAACCATGCATCTTTTTAATGGCTTAGTAAACATTGGGCCTACAATGACCCAACGTAATACTCCCAATTTATATGCACATCGTCCTATAGTTCGCAGTACGACGATGAGACAACGTTGGACCAATGTAGAGAAAACGCATGTAACACTGGCCGAACATATACTGTATGAAAGTTGTTAAGGTTGCATATACAAACGTTGGGCCAACGCTGGGCCAACTTTAGAATCCCAACTTCCGTAGAAAGTATAGCTGAAAGCAGTGGCTTAATGTTGGACCAACGTTGGGCAAACGTAAGAATCCCAACATGGTTGGCTACTTAAGAAAAGATTGACATGGTAACATTGGTCCAACGTTGGTCCAACGTTGTCTAGCCAACGCCAACCATCGGCCAACTGTACAACCATTTACCAACGTTGGCCCAACATAGTCATGCTATCTGGGATATTATTTACGTTTGCAAAAGCTTTCTTTGTGATAACTCTGAAAGTTAAGCATGTTAATTTCTCGATATTTACAACTCCACCCGTTATGCATAAATTATTCCATGTTTCCAACTGCCGTTGATGCCCTGGTATGCACAGCAAACTAAAAAGTGATTCCTTTAATATATGGTTGTTTCCACCCTGTGCGCTTTTAAAAATTTTTTAATCTTCGATTATTTATAAATATTTATTCACTTTGAACTGTCTGGTGAATCGGTAGCGGTATTTCTATGTATGTCCGATTTCGTTTCCGTATGCTAATTGAATAATCATAAAATAATTAATAGATCATAATTAAACGATGTTCATTGAAAACAAATAATGAAAGCCATCTCAAAAATTAGGGTCACAAGAGGTGAGAACGGCTGTGTACAGTGTCCAGTGATTAATTACTGTATATACACGAACACAGCCACAGGCGATAACGGGTATTAACTGGTGTAGGTGACAGTAATTACTGTATAGACATGGACAATGCATATTTAAATCACATATTTTGGTAAGTTTTTAATAAATATATGCACTTTGAAATATGAAAAAAAATATACATCCGAGTAACCGAGTACCGATTTTAGTATTCGATACTCGGACGTTCGAGCGAGTACCCGGTTAACCGGGTACTCGTTGACATCCCTAATATATATATATATATATATATATATATATATATATATATATATATATAATATTGAGCTGGTAATTTCCAACTTTAAAGTTGCTTTTCCAACTTTAAAGTTCGTAATTCCAACTTTAATCAGGGCTTTTCCATTTTCAAAGTTGACTTTAAAGTTGGTAATTTTTAACTTTAATCTTGGCTTTTTCAACTTTAATTTGAGCTCTTCTAGCCCTTTACATTATCTTTTTTTCCTTTATTTAAATTCTTACGAACTTTATTTAAACAAAATTAATACACTGCAATAGATTGGTGAGCAATTAATCTGTGTCAATTTTTTACCTTAACCTTCCCTATGACTTAATATATAAATTCAAACTTTTAATTAAAAAAATAAAATAAAAAAAAATTATGTATGCAGGTATCAAGTGCAAAGTTTTGTTGCTGAAAATCTTATCCGGCTAGAAAAAGATACTCAGATTGTATAAATAAAAAGAATATATCTCAACATCTGTATGACCCCTCCCCCCCCCCCAATTAAAAAAGGACATAGTTAAAAAAATAACACTTTTTAAAAAGCACATTAAGTCGATGAAAAAATGGCCCCTGCATCAATACTGTTAATGTTGCCTACTTCTTTTACCACGTCCACATTACCCAGTCCCTGTCAGACATTCACTTCCGGTTTAGAAGATGGACGTGGAAGATGAAAATATTCTTGCAGGGATTTTTAAAGATTCTTTCCCAGAAAACTGGCAAGAAAACTCTGACTTTTTGCAGTACCTGAGTGAGTTAAGTTCATATGGAGTCCAAAAACTGTCACTTGAGCCCGATCATCTGGCTGAAGAAAAGAACGAGATACTGCAAGCCACGCAGAACCTGGCTTTCCAACACTATAAAACATTCATAGAGACGGCTGAATGCTCAAGGGACATTTTTAAAGATTTTCAAATTGTAGAGAAACATGTTGGAAACTTACTGGAAAAGTTGCCAAATTTCAGTGAGGAATGCAATGGTGTTATGCAGAAAGCCCAAGAAATTAATGCCAGTCGGCGGATGAATAATCTCACCCTTCAGCGACACACACAACTGCTAGAAATCCTGGAGATGCCACAACTGATGGACACGTGTGTAAGAAACGGTTATTATGAAGAAGCACTGGAACTTGCAGCTCATGTCAAACGGCTGGAGAAAAAACATGGCAGTATTTCCATCATAGGCACGATAGTAACGGAGGTGAAGGGTTCCACGCAGCTAATGCTGAAACAACTAATTCAACAGTTGCGAACCAACATTCAGCTCCCAGCTTGCTTACGTGTGATTGGTTACATTAGACGAATGGATGTCTTTACAGAAACAGAGCTAAGAATTAAGTTTCTTCAAGCAAGAAGTACTTGGTTTCAAGGAATACTGAACTCAATTTCCAGAGAAGATCCATATGTGCACATAACAAAAACAATAGAAGCCAGTCGTGTACATCTGTTTGACATCATAACGCAGTACAGGGCCATTTTTTCTGATGATGACCCACTCCTCAGTACGAAGAAGGATGACACTGTAAGTGAAGCATCTTTATTTCATGGATGGGTGGTTCACAAAATCTCTGAATTCTTGGCAATATTAGAACAGGATCTAATGATAGGAGTAGGTGAAAGACTAGACTCAGTTTTAGGGCAGTGCATGTACTTTGGATTGTCTTTTAGTCGAGTTGGAGCTGATTTTCGAGGTTTGCTTGCTCCAATATTCCAGCATGCTGCTGTCATGGGATTCAAAAACACAATGAAGGAAGCTAATAAAAGATTTGAGTTGGACATGCAGTCTTACAATCTGCTAGCGCAGACAAGTACTGTGGGCTCAGTTCCATACATTGCACAAGGGAATGAACTCTACCCTCCAGCAATCCTTTTAGATTACTCCCCTTTGGCTGTGTACTGTAACCATGTTTTGAGTGGTTTTAATGAACTGCGACTATGTGCTCCAATATCTGTCGCTCACGAGGTAGCTGAAGCTCTACAGAATTCTCTTCTGGAAGTGAACAATGTCATTCTGTCTTTTCACAGAGCTGAGGAGGCGACATTTGATAAACGGGAGCAGGAGAAATTCACCAAATTCTGTGACGTATACGGAGAGACTCTCTTACCCTATCTACAAAAATGTCTTCAGGCTTTATTTCCCCCTCAGCAGTTGTCTGCCCTTCTTGGTGTTCCTGTAAATTTACTTGATTTAAAAACTGTTCTCCACAGAATCACACATCTGATGCCAGAAAAGGAGCAACCAGAGATTACAGATAAATCCAAGTCAGAAGAGTCGACCGAACAGAAATCTCAAGATTCACTCACGACTGTTAACCAAACACCTGAACAGGAGAGTATTCAACTGGGGGAGTCTAGAGATACCAAGGCCATAGAAACAGACTCTAATCCACAGGGGGAGTCTAGAGAGACCAAGGCCATAGAAACAGACTCTAATCCACAGGGGGAGTCTAGAGAGACCAAGGCCATAGAAATAGACTCTAATCCACAGGGAGGACCTGTCCACCCCAAAATAGTCCTCCAGACCCCAAACTCTGATAAAGAAGCTGTAGACTCGGATACAGAGCTACCAAGTAAAGTCGTCTTCACCACTAGTAGCTGTGAACATAGTGAACACAGTGATGTAGAGTGATGTTGAAAGAATATTTATATGTTATAGAATTTTTGTTTTGATCGTTGATTATTTTAAAAACATACTTGTAGTATTGTGTGGAACTTGTAAAAAAAAATGCATTTGATACTGAAAAATGCAACAATCTTTAAACATTAAAATTATTAATATTTTTGTGAAGTCAAATGTAAGAATTATATATTATACTGGGGTAATGATAATTGGCCATGTTATTTCATTAAAATTTATAGACTTATTAAGTTATTGCATATTTTGTTCTATTTATTTTCAATAAAATGTAATGATAAAGTTGTCTTCAAGTAACCTCTTACATACTACATGTACTGGACTCACTCTGAGGTGGACCCAAGAAAAGAGAGTCTAGACCAATCAGAGAGCATGCACAACACTCCAGGACCTGATCATTTAATAAAATTAAATTCTACCCCACTAGAATTATTAAACATTATTAGACTTATATTAAAAAATAACGGAATGCACCAATTTAATCCGTGTTTTTCCACGTGTTAGTCAAGTGAGCTTATCCCTGCTTTGAAATTTGTATCAGTATAAAAAAATCAGTTCAGAAGTATATCATAGAGGGAATTAATAAGACCCCAGTCCTTTTTTGCGCAGGCCTGGCTTTAACTGTGATAATTATAACTGGCTGACAATAAGATGGTTGAAGTTAATTTTTTTAAGAAGACCTCTATATTTGGCCACAAGCTTGGTTATTCTTTAAAAATGTTTCATTTGATTTGGATCGTAAACAACCTACTGTGTTTAGAATAAAATGTTTTTTTTAGCGAAAGCTTTTCCAAATAGCTAATCAAAGAAGGACAATCCAATGTTTCTTTAAAAGTGAAAGTAGAGTTACGCAGCTTTGTTTTGTATGAAACGATCATGTGATTGACACAGTGATCATTGACTAAGCCAAATTGGCCAAAGGATGCTAAGTACTTAGTGCAGTTTGGACCAGCAGCGGACAAACATGACGTGATAAAATTAGGATTGAAACCAGAGTCGCCCTAACGGTAAGCTACAAATTAGAAAGGGAAAAATTAAGTAATTTTATGTAAAGGTTATTTATTGGGGCTAATATACAAATGAAGTCAAAGATAATTTTTTGAATATGAGATGAGACTTAGTCAGCGTCACATTTTTAACCATTTACTGTAATTTTTTTTTTTAAAGCTAATTGTAAAAGTTAAGAAAAAATGTTGGCCCTGTAACTCCTTTGACATTTTGTGTTTAGTTTGAATTTTTTTTTTTAATTTCTCACTTTTGGTAAAGATTAATCAATCAGTTCAGAAATTATTATCTGCCTGTTTAAAATCCAGGTACTTCAGCAGAAGATAGTATAAGTCTGTTGGAAGTGTTGAATATTTCTTCTTTTTTTTGAATATTTATAAATATACAAGAACAGTGTAATTAACATCCATAATGAATTTTTAAAATAATCTCTCCACAGTATTAAAATATGGAGGACACCTCAGAGAAGACTTGTCTCCTCTCAGAGTATGAGCCGAATCACAACCCCCAGATCACAGTAGACGTGCCACAGGGGGATGCCTCGAGGGAAATGGCCCGGAACAAACGACGGAATCTCCAGAGCTCAGTGACAGTCCTGGAATCAGTGGAGGTTCCCAATAATTCCCAGGATTACGTGTCCCACAGCTATAACAGTTCACAGGGTGAAGAGCTCCCTGACAGATTAAAAATCTCGTACGTACAATCTATAACAGTTCACAGGGCGAGGAGCTCCCCGACAGATTAAAAATCTCGTATGTAAAATTAATAACAGTTCACAGGGAGAAGAGCTCCACAACAAACTTAAAATCTCGTATGTACAATATATAATAGTTCACAGAGAGACAAGCTCCCCGACAGACTCAAAATCTTCTATGTAAAATTAATAACAGTTTACAGGGAGTCAAGCTCCCAGACAGACTCAAAATCTCATATGTACAATCTATAAGAGATCTTAGGTAGTAGATCTCCCCGACAGATTCAAAATCGTGTATGTATGATCTAAAAGAGTTAACAGGGAGAAAAAGCTCCCCAACAGATTCAAAATCTCGTATGTATGATCTAAAAGAGTTAACAGGGAGAAAAGCTCCCCGACAGACTTAAAATCTTGTATGTACGATCTAAAAACAGTTAACAGGAGAGAAAGCTCCCAGACAAACTCAAAATCTTGTGTGTACAATCTCTTGATATACACACAAAATATGTTAGAGAAATTCATGTTCCATATATATGTGCATTAATGTATGTTTAAATCAAAGTTTTGGGGCTGGAATTAAAATTTCAATTATTTCCCAATTTTGACTCAGAAGTTTGAGTTGTGGATATGTAGAAAACTGTTTTTTCTGGCTTAATAATAGTTTTTTAAAGGAATCATTATGTATTGCATGCGTAGTTTTGCAGCCGTAAAATTTTAGGAAACTAAGATAAAATTCTATTCACATGATAGAAATAAAATTTCATCGAGGTGGGGTGAATTTTCTGAATCTGTCAGTGAAATGCAAACTAGGAAGTCACTGGAGTACAGTAAGAATAATGAAATGAAGATCAATTTGTTGGAAAAAATAGAATAGCTTACTGCAGCCAAATTTTACTTTAGTGAAAAGGAAGAAACTTTCTGACATTCTAGTAATTCGTAGTGAGAATTTAACATATTGAGGAAAAATAAGAAATAAAAGTAAACTTTAAATACTGATAACATGTTATCTTAATATTAAAAATATGGATGAAGGTAAATTATGTTACACAATATTGTTTACACCCTTTTTAATTCATATTTTTAACAATTTTGTAGTTTTTAGTTCTTGTATGATTTATTCCAGGAATTTACAAAGTCTGATGCACCTTTTGAAGGGTAACATTGGGACAGGAATTCTGGCCATGCCGATAGCGGTCAGCTATGCTGGACTTTGGGTAAGGATTTAGGGGTCAAGGGTAATATTGGGACAGGAATTCTGGCCATGCCGATAGCAGTCAGCTATGCTGGACTGTGGGTAAGGATTTATTGGTCAAGAGTAATATTGGGACGGGAAGAAATTCTGAACAAGCCAATAGTGGTCAGGTATACTGGACTGAGGTTAAGGATCAAGGGTAATATTGGGATGGGGATTCTGATTATGCCGATAGTGGTCAGCTTTGCAAGACTCTGGGTAAGGATTAAAGGGTCAGTGTATGTTAACCTATACTTAGGTAACCTGTCAAGTCAAAGTTAATATTCTTTAATTTCACTTTATATCATTAAAAGAGCATTTTGGTTTGGAGATGAGTTCCTATGATGGAAAGGAGAAGATATTTAATGTGAGACTGAATAAATGACTGGAGAGTTTAATATCCCTAACATTGTTAGGTTTGCTGACTTTGTATTTGGACAATGACTTCTTGACCTCCTGGTTACTAGTAATGCTACTTCTTAAGCTTAATGTCTCAATGGCCCTATTACAAATCACAGTTTGTGTACGTTATTTTAAAGTCATCGGTTAATTTCCAGATACGTATATCAATGGAGCCTCCCCCCCCCCCCCCCCCCCAATTTTTTGGATAGTCAGTATGTTGTCAGCTTGATACCTACTTCATTGTAACTTATTAACTAATCAACCACCACACAATGATCACATAGGAAATGAGCTCTTGGCTTCATGAGTTGTTACGCACAAATGTGTATGTCTTAAACATATTGATCCCGACTGAATGTCATACATTTATGACTGGAATGAAATATAAACCAGGGACTCTGCATCAAAAGTCAGGTGCTCTAACCACTAAGCTACCCAGACCAAAATCTGAGTCTTATATATAGCTTAATCCACTACACATCATACTGGTTTTTATTATGACTTCAATACCACCTAAATTCTTCCAATATCAGTTACTGTATCATGTCTAACAATTTTTTTGAGTTAAATCTCGGAGCATCCTATGATGAACATGTCATTACCCTCTTTATTGCTCCACGTGTGAAGCATACTGATGGTGTATCATTAGTTAAAATGACTCTTAAGTGGGCAGTAAGTAGATATACAGAGTAAATGATATGCATATATTTCTGTCTTCAAAATTTAACTACAGTAAAATCTCGTAATCTCAAACTTGATGACTAATTTAACATATGCCGGACTCTGAGGACATATGCCCAAGGGCACCTTGCTTTGATATAAATTTATTACATTTTTAACAGTGAAATACCGTAATTTATCTAGTGAATAAAATGTGATATTTTTAAAGGTTTTATTTTTCATAATGAAAATAACAAGTTTACAGAAAAGTACTCTCTTTTTCTTCCCTTTAGGAAAGTCTCAATATAGGTAGTGAAATAAACCATCCTGACTAAAAAAGCCAAGTTTCTCCAAATTGTTTTACAATTCATAATTACATGTACCATATTCACTGTGTTCTGAACAGACAGCTAATAAGCAAAAGTGTTGTCAAATCGGACGATTTTTAGTAACCGGTTAATCGCTTACTTTTCTGATCAAGTAACCGGTTATTTGGATGGTTTTTCTTTAGACCTCAAAACATCCTTTTCCGTGGTATATATTACTCAATCGTAACTGAAATACATTTTGTATATGTAACGTCATTACCGTTTCTATATAAATCCTATCATTTGTATACCTGTATATTTAAAACAAAAATGCACTGCTTATGAACAAATTCACAGTAAAAAATATCTTCTAAATAATTTTTTCTCGTACATCCCATAATAGTTTACAATTAGTTGTCTTATTCTAAAATGCATTATAATAGCAATCGATCCTTTTTTTTTTAAAAAACTTATTACCTACTTTGCAGTATTTTTAGCTCACCTGAACTGAAAGCTCAAGTAAGCTTTTCTGATCACCCGTTGTCCGTCGTCCATCCGTCTGTAAACATTTCACATTTTCAACTTCTTCTCAAGAACCACTGGGCCAATTTTAATTAAATTTAGTACAAAGTATTCTTGGGTGAAGGGGAGTTTAAATTGTTAAAATAAAGGGCCAAGTCCCCTAACAAGGGGAGATAATCAAGAAAAGACAAAATTAGGGTGGGGTCATTAAAAAATCTTCTTCTCAAAAACTACTGGGCCAAAAAAACTGAAACTTATGTGGAATCATCCTGGGATAGTGTAGATTCTAAATTGTTAAAATCATGATCCCCGTGGTAGGGCAGGGCCACAATAGGGAATCCAAGTTTAACATTGAAATATATAGGAAAAAATCTTTAAAAATCTTCTCAAGAACCACTGGGCCTTAAAAGATGAAACTTATGTGGAAGCATCCTCAAGTAGTGTAGATTCTAAATTGTTCAGATCATGACCCCTGGGGGTAGGGTGGGGCAACAATAGGTATTACAAGGGGGAAATCTGGTAAAGAACAGCATGGCCAAAGTTACTTAGTTGAGCAATGTGGCCCATGGGCCTCTTGTTGTTTTTTTCTCAGGTTGGTTCTACTGGTATTTTACTGCTGGGATTTTTAGCAACACACTGTATGCACACTCTGCTGAACTCGAGTACTCATCTACGACGGAGGTAAATTCATCTATAGTCTATATACAATGTCATATAACTTATAGACCATAATTAACACATAGTACATGTAAAACAGTAAAACATGTTTACTACAAAACATGGATATTGTGAATTTAGGGATGTATAGCGAAATTTTGTTTATCCTTGGCAAAATTCTAAATGAATCTGAGTAAAATTTTAAGGTTTTAATGAACTCTGGCTTAGCGATTTTATGGATTAGATATAGCAAGCTGATAATGTATTTTTAGGAGATTTAATTTAAGGAAATTACTAACTTTGTTCATAACAAATTTTAAATCATCTCAAAATTTAAACAACTGCACTGATGTCATTTTTCATAAATATTCATGTTTGAAATTTATGTCATAGAAAACTATAGTAATTCAATACTTTTCTGAACAAATTCAGTTCACTTGTCATACTTGAAAGAAAACATGTATATTACTAATTCTCACGATATACAGTCTATGCTTTTAAATAAATATCTTATACAGATTTAATAAATTACGGATACAGTGAAGTAAATTCACAGGTCCGCAGAACTTCACTGTAACTATGTTCTGCTGTATTAATAAAGTCGTGTAAAAACATATTAAGGAGTTTTTCTTCAAAAACAAATATGATTTATCTTCCTATGTAGGTTTTTCATGTGTATTTTCTATATAAAGCATTAATTCATGAGTTTAGTTCAAATGAATTTCCTCTTCAATACAATTAATTCAGAACCAGTCCTTAGATTTTGATTGGTATCAAATCTAGAAGAATAGATGTTATATTTTATGACAGGGAAAAGACAGCAGCACTTGACTATGCAGCTACTCTTCGGCTTAGTTTGTCCAGTGGACCAATATTCCTCAGGAGATTTGCAGGTCTGGGAAGGTGAGTCTGTGTAACTGTATCTCTTGTTTACAGATACAGTCAAACTTGTCTAATCTGGGTGTTGTGTATTCCAAAATCTTGTCTATCATGATATAAATTATTGAATTTAACTATTCAATATGTTGTGTAATCCAGAATGTTGTCAAATCCAGCCAGTTTCCATGAAAACAGTTGTTTTTTTTCGGATTAGACAAATATTGTTTGCATGAAGGTCATTTGCTAAAGTTTATCTCACATGATTTGAAAAATCTGTGTTTTTTAAAATTATAACAAAGATCAGAAATAATATTTCACTCTCAGGGAATTTGTATTTGACAATCACATATTTTAAAGATAAACATGCTATATTTGTCTTAGCTTAAGATTAACTTTTTATAATTTGATGTTTTCAGTTTTTTGATCAATATGTTTCTGATGATGACACAGTTTGGTTTTTGCTGTGTTTACCTCCTCTTTGTGGCGACCAACGTCAAACAGGTAATGACTACCACCTATTTGTGTGTGTGTGTGTGTATAAGTACATGTTTCTGCTTTGTTTATTTCCTTTTTAGCTCACCTGAGCTGAAAGCTCAAGTGAACTTTTCTGATCACCTGGTGTCTGGCGTCTGTCCATCTGTCCGACCGTCTGTAAACTTTTCACATTTTCAACTTCTTCTCAGGAACCACTAGGCAATTTTAACCAAAGTTGGTTCAAAGCATCCCTGGGTGAAGGGGATTCTAAATTATTTAAATGAAGGGCCAAGCCCCCTTCCAAGGGGAGATAATCAAGAAATGTCAAAAATAGGGTGGGGTCATTAAAAAAATCTTCTTCTTAGGAATCACTGGAGCATAAAAGCTGAAACTTTTATGAAAGCTTCCTGAGGTTGTGTAGATTTTAAGTCGTTCAAATCATTGCAAGGGAATCAAAGTTTTACATTGAAAGATAAAGGAAAAATCTGTTAAAAAAAAAATCCTCTCAAGAACCACTGGACCAGGAAAGCTGAAACTTATAACTTCCTGAGGTAGTGTAGATTCTAAATTGTTACATCATAGCCCCCAGGGGTAGGGTGGGGCCATAAAAGGGATTATATAGGGAAAAATCTTAGAAACTCTTCAAGAGCAAAATATTAATGTGAAAGCATGTTCTGGTAGTGAAGATCCATTTTTGTTCAAATTATGGCCCTTGTGTATAGGATGGGGCCACAAAAGGTAATCAAAACATGAATGTGGGGGGAAAATCTGATGCTGAACAGCAGAGCTAAAGTGACTCAGGTGAGTTTTGTGGCCCATGGGCGTCTTATTGTGGTGACCATTGTCAAACAGGCAATGAAATAACAATGTATGGAAACCTTTATCCAGTAAAAATTTCATTTAAACCAAATGGTCTTTTGAGCTTTCTGATCATTAGTTTGGTAGCCAGTTTGTATTGTTGTCAGCTAAAAAGGAGCACAATTAGTGCCCATTAGTATTCCAACAGATTGATGGAAGACCTGGCTTTCAAAGACTGGTATTGTTAATGAAAAACTCCAGCATCAAAGAAAATGTAATAAACAGAAAATTCTATGTTTTATTGTTGAGTATGGAACTTATTTCATTCATGAGACAGGAGTTTTTTTAAATATATTTTCACTTGTGTTTCGCACTCATGATAATAAAAAAAATCCTGTCCTACTGACTCGTAAAATAAGTTAAATATCAAACTAAAAAACACATATCCTCTACATGAATATCCTCTATGTATCATATTGCAAGTCTCATATATTATCCAAGTCCAAGTATGTTGAATGCTTTTGTGTTGTTATTAGTTTTGCACTGTTATTGTTTTCTTCTCCAAATAATTCTATATCAAGTCTTCAGAGTACTTAATGTACAGAGTAAATATACTTATGATCTTCCCTTTACATTTAAGCATTGAATCATTATTTTTAGCTCACCTGAGCCGAAGGCTTTTCTGATCACATTTTGTCTGTAATCCATCTGTCTGTCCATCCGTCTGTCTGTCTGTCCGTCCATCTGTAAACTTTTCACATTTTTAGACTTCTTCTCAAGAACCATAGGCCAATTTCAACCAAACTTGCCACAAAGTATCCTTGGGTGAAAGGGGTTCAAGTTTTTTTCAAATGAAGGGCCATTTTGCTCTTTCAAGGGGAGATAATAAAGAGATAATAAAGAAATAGTGAAAAATTAATAGCATCTTTTAAAAATCTTCTTCTCAAGAACCACAAAGCCAGGGAAGATGAAACTCGTGTGGAAGCATCCTCAGGTAGTGTAGATTCAAGTTTGTACAAATCATGACCCCCGGGGGTAGGGCCGGGCCACAATGGAGGATCAAAGTTTTACATAGAAATTAGGGATGTCAACGAATATTCAAGTACTCGACTATCGTTCGATCATACCGACTATCGACTAAAATTTCTTTAGTCGGTTATTCGTTTAAAATGTGTTACCTGGAAGTAATTTTAAATTCAAGGTATTAAATAAACTTGGATTTCGCTCAATTCATTTATATACAGATCAATGTTCTCGTAAGTTAAAACTCAGGGTATGGTTTAACTGTTCAAAGGAAATTATTTGTATGTCGATTTATGTTCGGCAAATATGCCTCCAAAATCTACAGTTTTGGTATACTTTAAAAGATATGTCAGGATGGAAAAACAGTTAAAAATACGTTTTCAAGGTTATGTGAAACTGAAATTGTATTCTGCAGTGGAACATCAAAAATGATGTATCATATGCCGAATCCGTCAAACATACATGTAGTAAACACATTCTTCAAGTGAAACTTTTCTTTAGTAAGTTCTCCGCAAAATGCCCCAAAAAAGCAGAGACGGAAAGAAAAATGTTGCTAGCACAAACATGATTATCAAGGATTGTCACTTATTGTTGTAAATGGAGAGGACGTTCAAGAATTGTTTGGTTTTGTAGATTCAAATTATAAAGTTTCAACCTGGAATAACATAAGATCTGATGTAAGCAACTATTCATAAAGAATAATTAAACAGCTGTTACAAAATTGTAAATACATGTAAATTGAGGGACGGTTATGAGCGTAATTAAATTGTGTTTCTGTCTGATATTAATATCATGCAGTCTTTTTAAGATTGTATTGATTATTTGCACAAAATCTCATAATTAAAATTTATCGCAAGCTCTTTCTGTTTTTATAAGAGGCACGCTTTAATTGTTTACCAGTCAAAGGTCACTGACAAGACACATACAAATGGCTTCAATTTACGGGTACATGTACTATCATTATGAAAAGAAAGGACAAATGCAAGCGTTTGATATCCTGCATTTAGATGAAATGTGCAGTAAATATTATATTAATTTTGAAGTCAAATGCATTGGATAAATGTAGATGTACAGTATTTATTGTACTACGTTTCAGAAATTCGTTGTATAATGGTGATAGCATAGGTTAAATATTGTACAACTAGTCTATAAAAGACAAGTAGTGAAAATGCTATGAAAAATTAATTTAAATTTCAACGAATATTCGACTATCGTTCGACTAAAGCCTCCGACTATTCGACTAAGCTGTCCGAATAAAATTGACATCCCTAATAGAAATATATAGGAAAAACCTTTAAAAATCTTCTTCTCAAGAACAGCAAAGCCATGATGAGTCATATTTATATGGAAGCATCCTCAGGTATTGTAGATTCAAGTTTATCCAAATCATGACCCCTGGGGGTAGGGCCGGGCCACAATGGAGGATCAAAGTTTTACATAGAAATATATAGGAAAAATCTTTAAAAATCTTCTTCTCAGGAACAGCAAATCCCTGATTGATCATATTAATGTGGAAGTATCCTCAGGTAGTATAGATTCAAGTTTGTTCAAATCATTACCCCCTGGAGTAGGGTGGGGCCACAATGGAGGATCATAGCCTGAAATAGAAATATATAGAAAGATAACTTCTGATGAAGAACTGCAAAGCCATGATTAGTCATTTTGATATGGAAGCATCCTCAGGTAGTGTAGATTCAAGGTTGCTAAAATAATGACTCCAGGGGATAGGGATGGGCCAGAATGGGGGATCGAAAATTTTACATAGGAACATATAGGAAAATATTTTCTTCTCAAAAACTGAAAATCATGTTTAGTCATTTTGATATGGAACATCCTCAGGTAGTGTAAATTAAATTTTGTTCAAATGATGACCCCCGGGGGTAGGGTGGGGCCCAATGGGGGATCGAAAGTTTTACATAAGAACATATAGAAAAAATATTTCTTCTCAAGAACAGAAAAGCTATGTTTAGTCATATTGATATGGAAGCATCCTCATGTAGTGTAGATTCACGTTTGTTCAAATGATGACCTCTGGGATAGGGGGGAGCCACAACAGGGGATCAATTTTTTACAAAGGAATATACTAGTATGGGAATTTTTTTTTTAAAATCTTCTCAAGTACAACAAAGCCATTTGTTATGTTGACATGCAAGCATCATCAGGTAGTTTAAGATTCAAGACCCCCCCCCCCCCCCCTCGGTAATCTTTTCAATACTGAACTGATTTGTGCTCTTGCCTAGCCAATGCCTAACCAATGTGCTCAGATGAGCGATGTGGCCCATGGGCCTCTTGTTTGAAAGATATAGTCTCATAGCTGCAATTGTGTGTGCGTGCAAACAAATTGAGTAACATGCGTTAGCGCATTATGAAAATTTGTTTGCACACACTGTTGCAATTATAAGGCTATATCTTTCAAAAAATAATGATTCAATGCTTATATTTACATTTTTTAACTCCTTGCCTCGACTGCAAATGTGATTTATATTTCAAAATCCCTGTATTATCCTTCGGGTAAGTTACAAATAATGGAAGATCCATTGCATCAGCTTCTGTTCAATGTGAGCATGAATTTTCATTTTCGCTTTTCCACCTCTTCATTGTTTGTGACTTCAAAAGAAAATGCATACTTTAACCTTTCGACCCCCTGTCCATGTTATTGTGTTTTGAATGCAGTAGCTTTCATCACACCTTATAAACAAAATACTTGTTGAATGTAACTATTTAACATAGTTTAACTCTTTACAGGTGCTCCACTCCTTTTGGTCAGGTGACCCCAGTCTTTCAGTGTATATCATCCTCATCGCAGCAATCCTCATTCCCTATTGCTTGATTAGGAATCTCGTACACCTCGCTCCGTTTGCAATGTTTGCCAACGTCCTAAACACAGCGGGTTTGGTGATTATCTTCCAATATATTTTCCGCAATCTGCCCGACCAGAGCACCCGACCAGCAGATAAGTCATATGAGAAACTGCCGCTGTATTTTGGGACAGCTCTGTTCACTTATGAAGGAATTGGCCTGGTAAGTGTATAATGGTGGACTTGTATACTGAAAAAAAAGATGTTCACCTGATAAAAACTTTTCAGATTTACATGAATGTTTAATACAACTCTCATATTCTGGGCAATACGTTATAATCATTTTTCTGGCATTAAAAAAAAAATAATAAAATAGTGAAATTTTATCATAAAAAGAGTTTGCAAAATAAAACAATAGATATTCTTTAAAACTCTCAAATAGAGAATAGAGATTTTCCTGATGCTTTTTAGCTCACCTGAGCTGAAAGCTCAAGTGAGCTTTTCTGATCACATTTTGTCTGTAGTCCGTCTGTCCGTCTGTCTGTAAACTTTTCACATTTTCGACTTCTTCTCCAGAACCACTGGGCCAATTTCAACCAAACTTGCCACAAAGCATCCTTGGGTGAAGGGGATTCAAGTTTGTTCAAATGAAGGGCCACGCCCTCTTTCAAGGGGAGATAATTAAGAATTAGTGAAAAATGAATAGCATCTTTAAAAAATCTTCTTCTCAAGAACCACAGGGCCAGGAAAGATGAAACTCATATGGAAGCATCCCCAGGTAGTGTAGATTCAAGTTTGTTCAAATCATGACCCCCGGGGGTAGGGCGGGGCCACAATGGAGGATCAAAGTTTTACATAGAAATATATAGGAAAAATCTTTAAAAATCTTCTTCTCAAGAACAGTAAAGCCATGATGAGTCATATTTATATGGAAGCATCCCCAGGTAGTGTAGATTCAAATTTGTTCAAATCATGGCCCCCGGGGGTAGGGCGGGGCCACAATGGAGGATCAAAGTTTTACATAGAAATATATAGGAAAAATCTTTAAAAATCTTCTTTTCAAGAACAGTAAAGCCATAAAGAGTCATATTTATATGGAAGCATCCTCAGGTAGTGTAGATTCAAGTTTGTTCAAATCATGACCCCCGGGGGTAGGGCGGGGCCACAATGGAGGATCAAAGTTTACATTGAAATATATAGGAAAAATCTTTAAAAATCTTCTTTTCAAGAACAGTAAAGCCATGAAGAGTCATATTTATATAGAAGCATCCTCAGGAAGTGTAGATTCAAGTTTGTTCAAATCATGACCCCCGGGGGTAGGGCGGGGCCACAATGGAGGATCAAAGTTTTACATAGAAATATATAGGAAAAATCTTTAAAAATCTTCTTTTCAAGAACAAAAAGCCATGAAGAGTCATATTTATATGGAAGCATCCTCAGGTAGTATAGATTCAATTTTGTTCAAATGATGACCCCCGGGGGTAGGATGGGGCCCAATGGGGGATCGAAAGTTTTACGTAAGAACATATAGAAAAAAAAATTTCTTCTCAAGAACAGAAAAGCTATGTTAGTCTTATTGATATGGAAGCATCCTCGGGTAATGTAGATTCAAGTTTGTTCAAATGATGACCCCTGAGATAGGGAGGAGCTACAATGGGGGATCAAATTTTTACAAAGGAATAAATGGGAAAATTCTTTTAAAATCTTCTCAAGTACAACAAATTCATTTGTTATATTGACATGAAAGCATCATCAGGTAGTTTAAAATTCAAGCCCCCCCCCCCCCCCATTCATTACTGAACTGATTTGTGCCTTAGTCTAGCCAGTGTGCTCAGGTTAGCGATGTGGCCCATTGGCCTCTTGTTGTAATTTTGAGCAATCATTCATTAATTACATTCAAGACTGGACATACAATTCTTTGATTTGTTAGGTTCTACCAATTGAGAACAAGATGAGGACCCCGAAGGCTTTCCTTGGGTGGAATGGAATCCTTAATCTCGGGATGATCACTATCTGTTCTCTGTACACTGCCATGGGCTGGTACGGCTACCTCAAGTTTGGGGACGACGCCAAGGGGAGTGTGACCCTGAACCTCCCCACAGATGAATTGTGAGTAGTCCTCACTGACAGACAGATGCATTTGGCATTTGTTTTGTTTTACTCTTACCCGGTAGTTTTAATTTTACAAATGATCTGGATATCGAGGTGCCTTTTAATCTCTGATGATTTATTTAAACTCCTCTTGAATCAAACCTCATCATTACTTATATTTATATCTCTGTCTTATGCATTGATTCTGGAATGTGGTTCTCTTTGTAGTCTATACCAAATGGTTCTTCTGATGTTTTCATTATCGCTGTTTATCTCATTTGCATTACAACTGTATGTCCCTATCAGAATTATCTGGCCGAAGATAGAGCCTCACCTTGTGTCTAAAAAAAAGAAGCGTGGGGGAGAATATGTTCTCAGGATTTCTCTTGTTGTCCTCACAGGTAACGCATAGATAAATATCCTGAAGGTAATAAAGAGAAAAATGTCCTCACAGGTAACATACAGATAAATGTCCTTACAGGTAACATAGAGATACATGTCCTCACAGGTAACATAGAGATAAATGTCCTCACAGGTAACATAGATAAATATCCTCACAGTTAAGATACACATTAATGTCCTCAAAGTTAACATAGATAAATATCCTCACAGTTAAGATACACATTAATGTCCTCACAGGTAACATACAGATAAATGTCCTCACAGGTAACATACAGATAAATGTCCTCACAGGTATCATAGATAAACATCCTCACAGGTAACATAGATAAATATCCTCACAGGTAACATAGAGATACATGTCCTCAAAAGTAACATACAGATAAATGCCCTTACAGGTAACATATAGAAAAATGTCCTCACAGGTAACATACAGAAAAATATCCTCACAGGTAACATACAGAAAAATGTCCTCAAAGGTAACATACAGAAAAATGTCTTCACAGGTAACTTTGATATAAATATTTTCACATGTAACATTGAGATAAATGTCTTTACAGGTAACATTCAGATAAAAAAGAGATGTGTCCACACCTTATATGATACAAGGGTTTTGATGGAAAGTAAATGAGAATAAAAAACATTGCACAATTTTTAGAAAAGAAAGTCTGATAAAGCAAAAGGAGTTCAAATTGTTTATATGTTATTAACACAAATTTTGAACACATACATTTGGGGTTTGCTCAAAAATTCAAATAGATATTAAAATGCAAGATATTTGTCTAATTTTGCACTAAATCCTGTATTATGCTTTCCTTTTTAGCTGTTGTTGCCATAGTGGTTCCTGAGTTAGACTTGCTTATCTCCCTTGTGGGGGCGCTGGCCAGTAGCTCCCTGGCTTTAGTGTTTCCTCCCCTGATAGAAATCCTGACCTTCAAAGCACCCAATGAAAAACTGTCCTTCATCATTCTCGTAAAAAACATTGTTATTATGGTGTTTGGAATTTTTGGATGTGTTGTTGGGACATGGATATCTATAGATGAAATTATCAAGAAAAGAAATTCACAGATGACGACTTTAATGCCAGTCAGTTCCACGACAGCAAATCCTACACATGATTTAACTTTGTATAACACGTTATGACAAGCGCTTCTTCACCTAGGTGTGAATTCCTCAACAATATATCTCAACAGATTGCAAACATGTTATGGTCACTTGTTGTTATGTAACGATTGAGTCCCTCAATAGAATCCAGCCCTGGTGGTAAAGTATGTCATGACCTTTTGCTCAGTAGCAGGTTTCCATTTCAATTTCTTCTTCTGGTGATACAGAATATTTAACCAAGATCTATGTGTTAATTTTTATGACTGAAGTGTCTTTGATGCTGGTTATCATGGACCAATGGTATCATCTGTTACAGTCAAGTCAGATAAGAATTATTTTGGACCAATGAAAATTTCTGTTATTTGGTACAATGCATTCATTATATTCATTTGTGTATAAGATATTTTTTTTATATTTTAGTTTTATTGTTGGGAGTTTCTATGAATTGTTATGAACATACGATTGAATTTTAATTTTTTACCAGAGTTGTTTTTTTTTAATTTATAAATAGAAAATCTCAGTGTATTTGTATTTTTATTTGACTGTGAAGTAAAAATTGTATTTTCCATCATACATTGAACATTTCATTAAGTGTATTTTCAATAGAGGGAACTTTCTAGGTTCAGAAAAATGTTAGCAAGCTATAAACTACTTGTGGCATTTGAATAATAATTGTAGAATAGTATTATACACAGTGCATTACTTTTGGTCTGAGGTTGTTTATGATATCCATATATAATCTGCAGGAATGATTTGTCTTTCTACTGTGATATATTAAGAATAAATTATATATTTTCTTTTCTTGTTTGTTGTTTATGTCACCAGTGCATGCTAGACTTTGCTGTGGAAGTCCTTTTTAGCTTACCTGAATCAAAGAGACTGCCCAACCATTGTCCAAGATGCAGATCACTTTTGTTGTAAATTTTGGGTTAAAAAGAAAAATTAAATGTAATTATGTATTTTTAACAGATACCTTACATTTATATTTATACAGTTCTGTATTATGGAGAAAAGAAATATATCGGAAAAATATTGCAATACATCATGATATTGCTGGTTTTCCAATTTCCACCAATTTCTGTAGCCAGTTGCTGTGATTTTAAGACCAAACATGCATATTATATACTTCCAGAAAATATAATAAAAAATCAATGCATGTACTTTATTTTATGTATCAAGTCGACCACCTCTGCATTATTTCAATGTATTGTTACAGCCTTATTAACTTTAAATGGGTGAATGGCATAAAAAGAAATAATGCCTTATTGGTTTGTAACAAAAATGTGTCATATAAAATTAAATGTTTTTAGCTTACCTGAGCTTTTCTGATTGAAGCCTTTGGAACTGTCGTCTGTAATACTTTTCGCATTTTCAACTTCTTCTTCAGAATCACGGGGCCATATTCAATCAAACATGCCACAGAGCATCCTTGGGTGAAGGGAATTCAAGTTTGTTCAAATGAAGGGCCACATCCCATTTCAAATTGAAAAACCAGAAGTCTCTGATGAGACTGTAGCTCTACTGGTCTGTACGTATAACAAAGTAGCACTTGGATTTGCAACATGCATTAATAAATAGAATTATGTATCTTAATGTAGTCTACTTCTGTGCCAAGTTATATTGAAATCAAACGAAAACTGTAGGAGGAGTAGCGTTTTGAAAGTATTTCACAGAAATTTCTATTTTTAGAAAAACCGAAAAAAAAAACCGAAATGCATATTATGTGTCGCAGTGTATTCTAATTGTGTGCCAAATTAGATTGAAATCAGACCAAAACTGTAGGAGGAGTAACATTTTAAAGGGATTTCACAGAAATTTCTATTTTTAGTAACCATGGGAACACTGTTCATCAAAATCAAAAACTGATGCATTAAATCATGTATCTCAGTATAGTCTTCTTGTATGCCAAATTATATTAAAAGCAGACTAAAACTGTAGGAGGAGTAGCGTTTTAAAGTAATTTCACAGAAATTTCTATTTTTGGTAACCATGGCAACACCGTTCATTGAAATCAAAAACTGATGCACTAAATTATGTATCTTAGTGTATTCTACTTGTGTGCTAAGTTATATTGAAATCAGACCAAAACTGTAGGAGGAGTAGCATTTTGAAAAATTGTTTACAGACAGACGGACGGATGACGGACACCTTACTATTGCATAAGCTCTTCTGGTCTCTGACCAGTAGAGCTAATAATGAAAGTTTGGTGGGGTTATTTATAAATCCTTCTCAAGAACCACTGGGCCAGGAAAGATGAAACTTATGTGGATGCTATTTCACATGGTGTAGATTCAAGTTTGTTCAAATCATGCCCTCCTCCCTGGAGGAAGGGTGGGGCCACAATTAGGGATCAAAGTTTTACATAAAAAATGTATAGAAACAAGAGGCCCATGGGCCACAGTGCTCACCTGAGTATCATCAGATTTTTTCCCTACATATTCTATATAAAACTTTGATTACATATTGTGGCCCCAACCCTACTTGAATCTACACTACTTGCAGATCAATGCTTCCATATAAATATGAAGAATCATGGTCTTGCTGTTATTGAGAAGAACATTTTTGAAGATCTTTCCTAACATGTAAAACTTTGATTGCCTATTGTGGCTCCACCCAACCCCATGGGTCATGATTTGAACAAAACTGAATCTACATTACCCGAGGATACATCCATATAAATATGACTGATCATGGCTTTGCTGTTCTTGAGGAGATTTTTAAAGATATCTCCTATATATTCCTATGTAGCATTTGGCTCAGATGAGCTAAAAATGCTAACAAAAGATCTTCTCAAGCAATTGTAACTGCTCAGTCAATTTTGTAATTGCAAAGTTTTTGGGTAACAGAAAAGGTCGAGTGTGATCCAACTGCTTCCCAATAACAGCAGAGCCATAATTAGCAATATCAATAGGTAAGTATCCCAAGGTAGTGCAGGTTCAAGTCTGTTCAAATCATTTCCCCTGAAGGTGGGATGGAGCCACAGCAGGGTATCAAAGAATATACATGTATAGGAAATGTTTAGAAATCTTTTCATGAAGAGCTGGGCCATGACTTGTGATACAGTGAAACTTCTAAAAACCTCCCCTCCCCCTTAAAAATGGCCCCCCTACCTATTAGGTTGAAGGCCCCAAGGAAGACTAGTGCTTGCACTAACCGGGCTACCTTTAGTTCTATAAACAATTATTATTGTCAATAACTTTGCATATAGAAATCAAAACCAAAAAATATTTTGCACTATTTTTCCCCTTTCTATTGAAAGTTATCCTGATTCTGAGAATAACAAAAACATTTCATGGGAAAAAGGGATAATAGGAGAACTGCAATGGAGTCTGGCCACTTCAAAATCCCTAGACATATACCAGGGTATGGAAGTCAATACAAGTGTGGAGGAGGACAATTTTACAGATGGTGTAGTTAGATTCTTTACTCTGCAAACCAGAAACTTCAGATAAATGCTGAAATACAACAGAACACTGGCGGTGTAATGTTTATTTATGTTTGTCTATTTCAATAATTCCTCACACATAATATATAAAATGAAACATGACATTCAGAGAAATGATTTCTGTTAAAGTGTGTATATCATTAGATCAATGAAAGACATGGTATTTTAATCAAGATGTGTTCCCCACTCCGACCCCAAAGTAAAGGTAAAGAAAGCAGTATGCATAAATAACATTTAACTCACATTTTATAGAACAATAGATAACAACCTAAGAATCCATTTCTCTCCTAAAATTTTGATAACCAGCAATACTAGAGGTCTCAACAAAATTCCCGAGAGAGTTCTTTTCCTCTTCATTTCATGGTTTTCAGATCTAAGATGGACAGTAATATTTGATATTCTTGTGTAAATAATACATTCCATTTTCTGTCTGTTGATCACTACCTATAGTCTCTGTACTGAAGTTTGTTTCATCACCTCCAGATCTTATTCTATGAGTGTAAACGTCATCCCTTCACATGTACAAACTGTTCTCCATAGTAATTAAACACTGTCAAATCAGGCTTTTTTCTTACTACATCCTCAATTAATTCATCAATTATCTGAAATCAGAGGGAAAATCCTTTCATTACACTGGACTTGTTATAAAAATCTTTGAATTGTGAAATAAAACTTTCATGATTTTGCATAAAAAAAATAAATTTATCAACCAAACTTGCATATACTTATTCATGAAAATGACAAATAAAGATACAACACAAACACTCCCTGTCAGCCTTACCCTATTGCACTGCTGTAGGTTCAGGAGGCGAAGTCTCGGCATTTCCTCAGGGACTCGTATGAAGTACGTCCCTGTAATCTTATGTAAACCAATAATGTCAAGAACCTCTAAATTCCTGTCAAAGAAGAGAGATTTAGATAGTCCTATGTGTGACACAAATAATTAAACATGTATCATAGATATAATTTATACAGCTATTACCCTATACTGTAAAAACAATATATTGTACAATATAGCCACAATAGTTCAATCATATATCGGGATACTGGAAAATATATGTACATGTACATGTACATGTATCAGGATATGTGATTAAATATAATGGTGTCTTACTTGAATTAGTAGAACAGTTTTAATGGAAAAACTGCAAATTCATTAAAATTTTTGCTAAAATAACCACCAGTATATTATTTCACAGAAAATGGTGTTACTAAAATAAGTATATATTTTTGTGTAAATGATGTTAATTATATGTTGTTTGAAACAGTCCAATAAGTGGGTGTGTATAATGATATTGACAGTACACATACTTGCAATGGTCGACAATAGAGATGACCCCTGGGTCTGTGATGTCCCAACACCAGGACAGGGCCAAATTCTGGAGAGATTGACCACAACTGTTTATAAAATAATAAAAATCTTACTTAAAGTTATTATGAAGGATGTTAAGATCAATCACAAGTTATGTAATGGACACATGTTGTGTCTGGGATTGACTTGAACAAGCAAGTAGGAAGCCTAACTTTTACATTATATACAAAATATTGACACTTGGCTATAAATGGAATTGGGAAATTTCAATTTGCAAAGTGAAGAGGATTTTTTTAAAATTCATACTATAGTGTATCTGTATTTATCCCGCTTCAAATTTGTAAATTATTGATCAGCTAAAAACCTTTCATAGTTGGGGAATATATTCCATGCAGCAATGGTTTAAAAATTCCATCACCAGCAGATCTACATAATATTTACGTAAGTACGGGTTTGACAGACTGACTCTCACCATTTGGTCATCTGGATGACGCAGTCATTGACAAACTGCGTACTCTCCGAGAAGTCGAGCTCGACCAGGTGAGACATGGATTTACAGGTAAACAGAGATAGCAGGCCTTCTGTTGTAAAGTACACACCTTTCCTCATCCTCAGGTAAACCAGGTTCTGTAGAGTCTACCATAAATCAAGCAACATGTCAAAGTACTGATATTTGTAACATGTGTATAGAATGCAGCATATATAATATATAGTATTCTGATGTACGACAAAATGACAAACTGAATAAATGTAAAAATTCTATGTACAAATTCACATATACCCACATGATATATCAGTAGCATTACCATTATGTATCTGGGTAACTAGTTAGTAATAAAACTTATACATACATGCGTGACTAGTCATTCATATTGTTTGTACCTGTGTGACTAGTCAGTAGTATATCATCTGTATGTACCTGTGTGACTAGTCAGTGGTATTACCTGTATGTACCAATGTGACTAGTCAGTAGTATAACCTGTATGTACCTTGTGACTAGTCAGTAGTATATTGTGTGACAAGTCACTAGTATATTGTGTGACTACTCAGTAGTGTATTGTATGACTACTCAGTAGTATATTGTGTCTAGTCAGTAGTATATTGTGTGACTACTCAGTAGTATATTGTGTGACTAGTCAGTAATATATTGTGTAACTACTCAGTAGTATATTGTGTGATTGGTCAGTAGTATATTGTGTGACTACTCAGTAGTATATTGTGTGACTACTCAGTAGTATATTGTGTGACTTCTCAGTAGTATATTGTGTGACTACTCAGTAGTATATTGTGTGATTGGTCAATAGTATATTGTGTGACTAGTCAGAAGTATATTGTGTGACTACTCAGTAGTATATTGTGTGACTAATCAGTAGTATATTGTGTGACTAGTCAGTAGTATATTGTGTGACTACTCAGTAGTATATTGTGTGACTACTCAGTAGTATATTGTGTGATTGGTCAGTAGTATATTGTGTAACTACTCAGTAGTATATTGTGTGACTACTCAGTAGTATATTGTGTGACTACTCAGTAGTATATTGTGTGACTTCTCAGTAGTATATTGTGTGACTACTCAGTAGTAGATTGTGTGATTGGTCAGTAGTATATTGTGTGACTAGTCAGAAGTATATTGTGTGACTACTCAGTAGTATATTGTGTGACTAATCAGTAGTATATTGTGTGACTAGTCAGTAGTATATTGTGTGACTAGTCAGTAGTATATTGTGTGACTAGACAGTAGTATATTGTGTGACTAGTCAAGAGTGTATTGTGTGACTACTCAGTAGTATATTGTGTGACTACTCAGTAGTATATTGTGTGACTAGTCAGTAGTATATTGTGTGACTACTCAGTAGTATATTGTGTGACTACTCAGTAGTATATTGTGACTAGACAGTAGCATATTGTATGAATAGTCAGTAGTATATTGTGTGACTACTTAGTAGTATATTGTGTGACTACTCAGTAGTATATTGTGTGACTACTCAGTAGTATATTGTGTGACTAGACAGTAATACATGTATATTGTGTGACTAGTCAGTAGTATATTGTGTGACTACTCAGTAGTATATTGTGTGACTGGTCAGTAGTATATTGTGTGACTACTCAGTAGTATATTGTGTGACTAGTCAGTAGTATATAGTGTGACTAGTCAGTAGTATATTGTGTGACTACTCAGTAGTATATTGTGTGACTAGTCAGTAGTATATTGTGTGACTGGTCAGTAGTATATTGTGTGACTAGACAGTAATACATGTATATTGTGTGACTAGTCAAGAATGCATTGTGTGACTACTCAGTAGTATATTGTGTGACTGGTCAGTAGTATATTGTGTGACTAGTCAGTAGTATATAGTGTGACTAGTCAGTAGTATATTGTGTGACTACTCAGTAGTATATTGTGTGACTACTCAGTAGTATATTGTGTGACTACTCAGTAGTATATTGTGTGACTACTCAGTAGTATATTGTATGACTAGTCAGTAGTATATTGTGTGACTACTCAGTAGTATATTGTGTGATTGGTCAGTATTATATTGTGTGATTGGTCAGTATTATATTGTGTGACTAGTCAGAAGTATATTGTGTGACTACTCAGTAGTATATTGTGTGACTAGTCAGTAGTATATTGTGTGACTACTCAGTAGTATATTGTGTGACTGGTCAGTAGTACATTGTGTGACTAGACAGTAATACATGTATATTGTGTGACCAGTCAGTAGTATAATGTGTGACTGGTCAGTAGTAGATTACTATTAAGTACCTGTGTGACTAGTCATTTATTCTAATGCACTTGTTTTTATTAAAGGATTTGTCAATTTGTATTACCTGTATGTATCTGAGGGTCATATTTTCTTTACCTATATTGTATCTTAGGGACTGTTCATTTTATATTACCTATATTGTACCTGAGGGACTGGTAATTTTTTATTATCTATATCATACCTGTGGGACTGGTAATTTTTTTTTTAATTCTACTTTCACACATATTACACAAATACACACAAACGTATATATAAAGAAATGTACAAGACCATATGAAATAAAGAGAAAAGGGAGACTATGTATAAAACTAGTGTGAAAGTTTACAGAGAGAGAGAGAGAGGGAGAGAGGGAGGGAGAGAGAGAGAGAGAGGATAGAGAGGAGAGAGGGAGAAAGAGATGGGAGAGGGTGCACATACTTCAAGTAAAACTCATGTAATAATTTGTGTTGAGCAAATTTTAGAGTTTTTCAACTACTTCCTGCCAGTGTCTTTCAAATTCATCATATTTACAGATTTTTAACAAGAGGAACTTTTCTACTCTAATTCTTTCGGTGATAACATTTTTTAAAGCCTCAATATTTAAATTTATAGTTTTGGCGAACTTACTTGCAAAAATATATTGCTTTATTATCAGAATTAGTAGATTTTCTAACTTGTATGGGACTGGTAATTTTTTATTACCTACATCATACCTGTGAGACTGGTAATTTTTTATTACCTACATCATACCTGTGAGACTGGTAATTTTTATTACCTATATCGTATCTGTGGGACTGGTAATTTTTTATTACCTATATCGTACCTGTGGGACTGGTAATTTTTTATTACCTATATCATACCTGTGGGACTGGTAATTTGTTATTACCTATATCATACCTGAGGGATTGTTCATTTGTATTACCTGTATATATCTGAGAGACTGGTCATTTTGTACTTCCTGTATGAACCTGAGGGACTGGTCATACCTGAGGAATTGTTCATTTGTATTACATGTATTGTATCTGAGGGGACTGTTCATTTTCTATTACCTATATCATACCCAAGGGACTGTAATTTTGTATTTCCTTTATGTACCTGAGTGATTAGTCATTTGTATTACCTGTACATATCTGAGAGACTGGTCAGTTAACCCCTCACAGAAGGACACCTGGAGTTTCTTGAGTTTGGCACACCTGGCAATGTGGTGAAAACTTCTATCAGAAAGCTCAGCTCCATCTAGCACCAGTTCCTGTAGATTCTGATGTTGATTGTCTACTAAGGTAACTACAGCACTGAAACATAGATTTGTTATTTAGCAAACTTAATCACTTAAAAGAAACTTGAGTTTTCCCAAGTTAACCAAAGATTTTTTAACTTACTATAATAAATACTGTAGACATATTTAAGTTTGTCTTGGATTAAATTTCATTAGTTTTATGCCTGGGAAAAAAAATATGAAATTAAATCCAACACAAATTATTTATTTCAGAAACTCATTATTTTCAAGTCAAACATATACATGTTTCTGTTATGTCTCCATAATCCGTTTTAAACCACAATTTACCAAAACTGTAAACATAACATACAAATTAACTATGAAATTGTAATAATGCAATTTTTTTCATAAACTTTAATTTATAGGCACCTGTCAGAAATCCAGGATATTCCATCAATATTGAGGGACACAATTCTCTTCACTGCAGAGGATAGTAAGACAATGCTGTCATCTGTCAGGTTACAGTGAGAGAAGTTATAACTCCGAAGCCTCTCCCCATGGGGCAAGGCTGCTGTGACACTGTCATCTACTGTGTGACATCCCTCCACGTTGAGCTCTGTAAGTCGGGGGCAGTTCCTCACAAAGTACTCAATCACTGTCCTGTTAACACCAGTAGAGAACCCCAGATTGAGGGATTCCAGGAGTGGTATGTACTGTGAGAAGACTGCCACCTCCGCTGTGCTTAGATCCAGCCTTCCCATCAAGTTTAATTTTTTGAGTGAGGTTGCTCTGGAAATTGTCCTACATAAGACGGTGGATGGGAGCTCACAATGCCGACTGAAGTCTAGCTCTTTCCATAGGCTTGGGTCATGACCTACATCATACCATTGCTTACAAACTGGTATCACACAGACACAAAGCTCCAATGAGGAAAAAAAGCTAAAAATCTTCAAAATTATCTCCCTTGGTAAAGAGTTAAAAGAGTTGCCTTGTTCATCATGTGAATCACTTGTGTCACCTTGTCTACTACTTAGCTTTACTGTACTTGATATCAAATTTTCTACTTCATTTGATATAACTTTGATGTCGTTTTCTAATGTTGTTTTTGATCCATCATCAAAAGTTGAAGATGTCCCACAAATACGGAATACCCCTGGACCTACAATGAAGTGATTTCCACTTCCATCCTCCTCCAGGAAATGAACTATTTCTGTACGGAGTGAAGAAGACTCCTCTCCATCTCGTTCTGGATTTTGTAAACCATCTTCTTCATCCATTAGCTCCTTAGTTACTCTTAATCTTGCTGGGAATCATTTCATGCTCAACTTTTCATTAAGTTAACAATATTTATACAAACTAATAAATAAAAGTGACTGGTTTGTAATATATACACAGACCAGTATATGGATATGTGCTATAATTGTATTTTTCCATTTTAAACTATTTTTCATGCATTGTAGTCAACTGTCAAAACAAATATCCGAGAAAATGTGGAATTTATTCTCAATCAAACACACACGTGAACTCGAAGTCACATATGTAAAGATTAAAACCAGCATGTGAAAATAATTAAACCCGGACATTAGAAAGTTCGTCTTCATCAAATCAGTCGTATCTAATTATGCTTAAGAGGTAATGAACTAAATAATTGAATAATATTTTTAAAGAGGATTATATTATCCCTATTACGTAAAAATAATAATAATAAAGGAATGTTCTTCAGGAGGCCGTCTTAAGGGGGCATATGGGGAAAGTTGACCAGTGATAGCATACCCCCTCCCTTCTTTATACTATCATTTCTGAAACAAAATAAATTATTATTAAAATCAATTTATCATACATAAATTATGATTATACATAATTTTTATTCATCTTTTAAAGTTATGCTGCACTTCAGGATTTTGTTATTCAATTTTTGAGGGAAAAAAAAGAATGCGCAGTGCTATACTCTAGAACCTCCATAATGATACCCATTATTTATCAAAAAAAAAAAAAAAGGCTTAGTAATGGGAGGATGGTGCCCTTCGCAGACCATCCCCCACCCCTATTTTCCTTCATTTGATCATGCACGCACAAAACGTAGTACTCAGTTGCTGCACTTGAAGTGAATTTCACGATTTTCCTTTGTCAGATGGAGGTCGTTCTTATCTAGAATCTATCATTTAATAAAACATCAGTTACATGGTGCATTGGTGTGGGTACCAGTGGGAACAGGGAAGGGTGTGTAAACCCCCCCCCCCCCCAATTTATTATGGTCCGGCTGCATTGCATTACTACGAAAGCCCATTGAGCTCATTTTCGTAGATAAAAAAATATATTTTTCGCGTTATAACGCGAAACTTTCGCGAATAAACGCGTAACTTTCGCGTTTTAACGCGTAACTTTCGCGAATAAACGCGTAACTTTCGCGAATAAACGCGTAACTTTACGAATAAACGCAAAACTTTCGCGAATAAATGCGAAACTTTCGCGAATAAACGCGAAACTTTCGCGTTATAACGCGAAACTTTCCCTGTAAAACAGAGACATTTGCATAAGTCTACAGTTTTTTTTACTTTTTCATGATCTAGTTTATTCATTACAGTGAAAAACGAAAGACTATTTTGAACTTGGATTATCACGAGCTGAAATTTTATGTTTTCTCGCCATTGAATGTGTCTTTCCTCTTTCTAAATCTTTTTTGCCGTCACATTTTGTCTTTCTCAATGCTGTTCAATACAAGTGTTGAAGCGTATAGTAGAGGAGCGAAAATACAAGTCTAATTTTAATTAGATTGAACATTCTATATAGAATTTGAAATAAAAGATCTCAGAAAATTGACAACAATGAGGTAAATTTGTATTTCACGGAACAATTGTGTCACATCACATGAGTAACCTAATGTGAAAATTGGATGACAAATATTCGTATCAAATATTTCATCTCCGATAGACTCACTGAAGAAATACAACATTGTATTTTAAGGTTGCACCATTTGGTCATACCATTACTTACGAAAACATTGACAATTTATTCAAAGAAAGCAACGAGTGGAGATCTTCCCGAGAAAAAAATTAGTCTACAGAATTTCTTGGATTCAACAAGTGAAAAACAAGAAAATCTTTAAAGAAATATTCATTTAATTAATTAGTAGGGTTTTGAGATTAAATGCAAAATCAACACTAATCTATCCATTTCTCGCATCAATTCTCTTTTACATCTTCTGAAGAAATGTCATTTATAAATTCATAGAAGTCCCCCTCTGCCTTCATGTTTTTTATCTGTCAGTCAAGAACACAGGTTCCTGAGTAACACGCGTTATAATGCGAAAGTTACGCGTTTATTCGCGAAAGTTTCGCGTTATAACGCGAAAAATATATATTTTTTTTATCTACGAAAATGAGCTCAATGGGCTTTCGTATATTACCGAAATTTTTGAAAAAATAAAAAAAATATTTTCTTTCCGAAAGAATATTGAATATTGTTACCGAAAATTCAAAATGAAGCATTTCAAAATACTTAGTATACAAAGCATTTCACTCGAAGCCAATGCCCAGTTCTATATAAAATGTCATCCAAATATTATTCTGTTTTGGACATATGTTTGTTTTCATACTGATAATGTAAAATAAATAAATTTGTTCTCCTCGATGCTCTCTACCATTTCCACTTTATTCTCCATTATATATAAAAGCCACCCCCCCCCCCGGATTTTGAAGATTCCCCTTACATAGGCGTCGGAACGGGGGGGGGGGCTTAGCCCCAACGCCCATTTTTTTTTTTTTTTTACAAAGATAGACATAATATAGGCATTGAACATTGGGGCGTAGTCCCCAAACGTTTTTTTGTTGTTGTTTTAGCCCCCTTCACGTTCAACAGGCACGTAGCATCAAAATGTTCGATCAATGAAAGCCCCCCCCCCCCCCCCCCCACTGTTGCAGATATAGTCAAAGAAGGGTAAGTGGTATCGTATGATAAAAAAATGGCACTGAAAGAAGTTTGATCCCCCCTCCTTCTTTGGTTGTCAAGTTTTTTTTCAGGTTTGATTTTTTATCTCTCTTTCAATTAGCCCCTCCACTTTCAACTTTCTGCCGACGCCTATGTTCGATATAGATTAGCTAAGAATCTAATAAAGGGAAGATTCTCTTACTTATTTTTTTTTTAATTCAGGCACTTGCAACTAAGAATTTAAGAACAAAAACGATAAATATTGCAAATGTTCCTTTCATTGTGGTATTTTACACCTAGATATTTAGTAGATGCAGAACACCCCTGGACACTTGTTTTGTAATGTTTGTATTCAACACTGTTGTTTGCAATAATTTCCTCTTCCCTGGCCCAGCATGAATTTTAACAAATTTATTTCAAAATATGAATGGGGTACGATTGTATCTATTCTTTGAGAGAGAGAGAGAGAGAGAGAGAGAGAGAGAGAGAGAGAGAGAGAGAGAGAGAATCTCCAGACAAAATAAAGCCGCTAGCTACAATCGAACTGTTAATTGCTGAATCTTAATTACTGCGCGTATTATTTTTTAAATAGAAAGTGTCCCTCCTGGTTTAATTTTCACTGTCATGATTGTGCGACTCGGGGCTTTCTAACGACCGTAAAAATTTCCAGCCAATGAAAACGTTCCCATGGCAGCATATCAGTTTTTGATTCGCCAGCCGCGGGGAAGTGGGTCATAGAGCGATCAGATGCTCAGAATAAATTAAAGTAAGCCGGCCGAAGACAGAGCGAACAGCGCCCATTTTGTAGTCATCAGTGTTTGAATATTAACCATGAGGGAAATTGTTCATTTACAAACTGGTCAGTGTGGAAACCAAATAGGAGCCAAGGTCAGTGAATTACATCTACTTCTAACTATAATTATCTGACAATATTTGGCGTATTTTCCCATGCTTTAGAAAGGAAGTGCGTGGTGCAATGCGGCATTTTTGTCTTGCTTTTACCAGTTGTACAATTTTTTTTTAAAAGATGGAAAAAGAGAAAAAATTTAATGCCGGACAGGAAAATTAAATATTTTAGTAGCTGTAAGCCACTCTATTTATATAAAGATGCTTGTGCGATGACAAAACTAACACAATGTAACAAATTGTGTTTTTTGAACAGCACGTGACTCATTGTTAGAGTATTGCTGACGAAGCGGGCATCTCGTCAGCCTCTCGTTTTTCTTAAATGAACCACGTGTCACTCTTAACACGCTAGGGTGCGTAAAAGATGGGTGTGGGTCTGTCATTTAAAAATTTTAAAGTTCACCCTACAAAAATGACAAGTGCCCAGTGTGAATAAGTACAAAATTTAAATGGTTTTTCATGCTAGAGTAAATTTCATTGGAAAAGAATTTAAATTCTATGTCAGACAAGATAAAAAAATAAATAAATTTTGAGAGCAAGTAAGAGTGAGCTCACCATACTTGGGGTACAGATAAAAGAAATCCCCAGGAAAACAGATGCTGAAATCTGGTGAAAAATGATTGCAGCACAAGATCTGGCAGATGCTGTAGATGAGGTGTGCTTCATGTGAGTGAATGTTGTTAGAACATCTGTTGTATTTTTCAGTTTTGGGAGGTGATCTCAGATGAGCACGGAATTGACCCCACAGGAACTTATCACGGTGACTCAGACCTGCAGCTCGAGAGAATCAATGTCTACTACAATGAGGCTACTGGTGAGATTGTCAGCTGTCGAGAAATCGGCACAGATGCTTTTTATTAATACGACTTATTGCATTGCATAGAAGTAATAGGTAGCTTTTTTGGGGAGGATGTAGTCTACTGAATAATTTGGTTGTAACTTGGAGGGCTTTGTGTAGTGTATAAATCTATACATGATCTGTGTCCATTTGTAAAATTAAATACTGTGCCATAAGAATGAACATAAAAGAAGTCTGATATGTTGCAAAATTAGAATGGATCCAGACTTGCAGTGCAATGTTGTAAAATTTAAATTTAAATTATTATTCATATTGTCTGAAAGAAAAAAATATCTTTCTAATGCAGTTTTCAATTTTTCTCAAGTCTCTCTCTAAAAAAGGGACTGCTTTTTGAATACATGTAATAAGAAATTGTCTTGCAAACTCGATGTTATTTTTTGTGGTGGAGAATGTAGAAAATAAAGTTCAATATACAGTTTAATAAAGATCAGGCTTTCATAAATGTTCTAAATCTGTAAAAGCATTAAAGAACAACATTCATGTAACTGATATTATCTTGAACAGGAGGAAAGTATGTTCCCCGAGCCATCTTGGTCGACTTGGAACCTGGAACTATGGACTCAGTCAGATCAGGTCCATTCGGCCAAATATTTCGGCCAGACAACTTTGTGTTTGGACAGAGTGGTGCTGGTAACAATTGGGCCAAAGGTCATTACACAGAGGGGGCTGAACTCGTGGACTCTGTCCTTGATGTCGTGAGGAAGGAGGCAGAGAGTTGCGACTGTCTACAGGGTTTCCAGCTGACACATTCTCTAGGGGGAGGCACAGGGTCAGGAATGGGTACTCTCCTCATCTCCAAAATCCGAGAGGAATACCCCGACAGAATCATGAACACATTCTCAGTCGTCCCATCACCAAAGGTAGGCTATGATTGGTCATTATTCTGATGTTGCAAAAGAAATGAAAATGTCAGCTTTACCAGGTGATAAATTCTTAACATGTGCATCACTCCCTTGTCTGCAATATTTATTGATATAAATATAGTTAGTAGGAAAATACTGCTATGATCTGGTTAAAGCTGCACTCATTAATTGAACTTGATTATGGAGTCACGTAAACTGAGCTTAAGCAAGATACCCCTCATCATCTATATTGATTTCACTTCTAACAAGGCAGACGAAGCTTTTGCCAACTTCTCACTTAATAATATATTTGTGCATTATCCAAATTAAGTAGTTTCTGGTTCACCCAGGAAAAGCTCTCCAGAGGAGTGACTTATTCCGATTAATGCATATTTTATACCAGCTTGATTCAAAACTTCAGCAGAAATCAATACTCTGCTTTAGTGAGAATTAAGGAAGTTGTGTTACGTAAGGGCATGATGCTGATAATAGGCTTGTTCCTGTTTTTGATGTTAAAAATATTGATAAAAGATCAATGATTTGATAAAATTCAAGTGGTATGAGGAATAATTGTCTTTGTTTCTCATATACAGAGGAATTTCCATGTAATCCTTATTTCTTACAGTTTGCACAATACTATTCAACGGGAAAAAATTAAAATCTTTAATGTATTTTGTATCACTCATGATTTATGATTAAATGAGATGAACTGATTGTAAATCTTGTGACTTTGTGTTTTACAGGTATCAGACACAGTAGTAGAGCCATACAATGCCACACTCTCTGTTCATCAATTAGTAGAAAACACAGATGAAACATACTGCATTGATAATGAGGCTTTGTATGACATCTGTTTCCGTACCCTGAAACTGTCCACACCCACATACGGTGACCTCAATCACCTTGTGTCTGCTACTATGTCAGGGGTCACGACCTGTCTGAGATTTCCCGGACAGTTGAATGCAGACCTCAGAAAACTTGCCGTAAACATGGTTCCCTTCCCTCGCCTTCACTTCTTCATGCCAGGGTTTGCTCCCCTAACGTCCCGTGGAAGCCAGCAGTATAGAGCTCTGACTGTCCCAGAACTCACACAGCAGATGTTTGATGCCAAAAACATGATGGCTGCCTGCGATCCTCGTCATGGTCGCTACCTTACCGTGGCCGCCATCTTTAGGGGACGCATGTCCATGAAGGAAGTTGATGAACAGATGCTGAACGTCCAAAACAAGAACAGCAGTTACTTCGTGGAGTGGATCCCAAACAATGTCAAGACTGCCGTCTGCGACATTCCTCCTCGGGGTCTGAAGATGTCGGCCACCTTCATAGGAAACAGCACTGCCATTCAGGAGCTCTTTAAGAGAATCTCCGAGCAGTTCACGGCTATGTTCCGTCGTAAAGCTTTCTTGCATTGGTACACAGGTGAGGGTATGGATGAGATGGAATTCACCGAGGCTGAGTCCAACATGAATGATTTGGTGTCGGAATATCAGCAATATCAAGACGCCACGGCGGAGGAGGAGGCGGAGTTTGATGAGGAAGAGGAAGGAGAGGAAATGTAACTCAATATAAAACTCAGCAAAACAGGAAGTTAACAAAAGGACCAATATCTGTCAACAAGGCTTTAAGAAATCTCAATGACTTCAGTTTTCTAGTCACTCTCTTCTGTTTTCTGTGATCTGCCTGTCTTCCCACAACTATGTGGACATTTTGTGAATCATTTTTACTTTTACATTTTGTTAAAAGAGCTTATCATGAGTAAAAGTATGAACTGAATATTGTTTGTTGTGTGTTATATTTGGGAATTTAGGAGCCCTTTGACTTAAAGTGGAATGGCCCTCAGCTAAGACAGATAACTACAAGATTGATAAAGCAGTATGTTCCCTTTATAAATTATCCTTCTTCAACAATGATATGTTTTATAGTATGGTCTTCTAGCTTGAATATCATATTTATCCCTATCCACTAAGAAAATTGTCTGTTACCAAAATTAGGCCTAACATAGTAGGCAGAGGGAACCTCTCCTTGGAATGTGTAAAAATTAAAATATATAATTTCCCAGGCATTATGAATACTGCTTGTGTTGTAATCCCACTGTAGACTGCTAGTAAGGGCTAGAATGTAGGATAAGGCTCGTGAATCAAAGACCAATGTAATATTGTTTATCTTGCAATTTATAGTTATACCAGTGAGGTAACCATTAATATGTAGAAAGTCCGGTGGAACAGAATTAGCTAATACTGGTACTGTCCTCAAAATTGTTTTGAGGTTTAAAGATGCTTCATGAAGATTGATCAGTTCTTGCACATCAGCCAAAGAATTGACACAAAATGGTGTCATGTCCATCCAACACAGGAAAATTGTAATTTTTGATTGACCTTTTCTGTCATGGCTAATTGTTTTATAAGACACTTGGGTACTTTAAGTACACATGGCCCAGGGGTACACCTTGACCCGTATTACGTCTGTTAAATGGGAGATAAGTTATTATATACTGTCACCATAGAAAGCAGAGGGCTATTCTTTGTTAGTGACCTCATGCTGAGATTTTTTTTTTACTAAAGGTAACTGAAGTTTATAACCTGCTGAAATGTCCAGGTCCTAGAGGACATGAACCTCTCCCCAGTACAGTTTTCATAAAGTAAAGCCTCCAAAACATCTCGATAAAATTTCTTTGTTGCTCACTAATGAGAGCTAGACTGGTCAGGCAGGTTTAATAGCTGGTGGCCATATAGCTCGGTAGAACACCTGACAAGTGATTCAGGGGGTCTGGGTTCAAATCCTGCCTAGTCTGTCACATTTGTAAACTCTCCACAGTGCGTTACATTTAAAAGTAACAAGCGAGGAGAAAAATGTGATGGACTAGACCAGGTGCTAGATACCATCTGAGCTGCCATCTGCTCAGCAGTGATCAAACTTGTCTGACAGCCTCGAGAGGAAATAAATACATAAGGATATAGAAATGGAAAACTTTTCAATTTATATAGTAACATTTGGTTGACCACAAAGTACTGTAAACAGTTTTAATTGTGAAAAAAAACACCTAATAAACTAATCCAAACCCAACATGGGTTATAGAGAATATAACCTTTCACAAAATATTCAGTTTATATTAAACCACTTTCAATACAGAAGTATTAATTATAAAATAAAATTTATATACCTATTGAATATTTTAAAAAAAATAAAAGAAAGGAATGTTATCTTTTTTTTACATATTCCAAGTACCTGTGGTAAATACAAGGTTTTTTTTTTTTTTTAATTCGTAGGCCAAAATGGTGGAACATTAAAAAAACAAGAAAAAAAAAGTTTAGCAGAGCGTGGTTTCGATCCACGGACCTCTGGGTTATGGGCCCAGCACGCTTCCACTGCGCCACTCTGCTCGATAGAATAATGTGGAATAAAACAGCTATATATTTTATAATTAGAATTGGTTCAAAGCGGGATCTTTACTGCGCTTGTCACTGTACAACAAACGTCATGTACGAAAGTTGAAGCTTGCATTTGACGTTGATTATTTAAACTCGAGTCATCAAGTAAATAGATAGGGGCAGATAGGGAAAGTATTTATGTATCGGTAATTCCTAATAAGCTTTTCTAAGGCTACTCCAATAAACGACTGTTTGTTGGTGTGTAAGATTACGGTATGTATAGTAGTACTTTTGGTTAGGATCTATTTATACTGATAGTGATAGTAAAAGTTGGAGTGACTTGCAGCAGAGGTGTCATAGCCTACAACATGAACATCTATGTTATATAGGTCTAATGCTACTGTATATGAAAAGCTTGTCGCAATCCTGGGTCGGAAATTTTATCAGTCAAGTCAGTAGAATAATTTATACGGAAATCTGAGACAAGGGCTCGTCGAAGGCAGGCTTTGCGGATTTTTGCTTTACATGTAGGATAATTTTACTAGCTTGTCTCACAGACTGAGAGGATAAAATGCTACTAGTGTGCAGTGGTGTGTCAATAAAAGTCTCTCAGAAATAAATATCATATAGCAATACCTAACGACTAAATGAATAGTTGTTTGTATATGATTTTTTTCAAATGCCCGGAGCAAGCTCCTGTGCTTTACTGGCCAAATTTCCAACTCTTAGTGTACTTACATCTGTACATATACTCTTCCTTAGTTTTGATTTTCATTTTACAACAAATATTTAGATCTTCATAGATATACCATGTATATCAAGACTTTTTTTATGCTAAATTTTAAACCCAAAATTTGGCAATATTCCTAACTGGAAATATTATAAAACACATATTGGATGAGTCATGCATCCTGATTCAAGTGAGTACAAAGTATCATTATAATTTTTTGTGCTATTTTAGGAAAATGGATGCGATATTGAATGGAATTCTCACATCCGAGCATTCTGACTCCCTGAAGAAAAAACTGATAACCAAGGTAACGGAGAACAGTTCCAAACCTCAGCCAGTTCATGTCATTCGTTCCGTGCTACAAATCTCATCGTCATGGTTTCTCCAGGGAGATTCTGACATCGCCGTGTCCGAGGGACTGCAAGTGTACATTTCATGGGCAAAATACAACTTGAAAACATTTGAAGCTTTTTTTGACCGTGAGTTTCTCCTGTCTTTATTTTCGTACAAAGGTAAACAGGAAGCGAACGCTGTATTGTTGTTGGAGGCCAGTATGGAGCTATTACAGAGATCCTCCTCATACTCGGGACATGTTAAGGTTGTGGAAGCCAAAGCTATTAGTTACGTTAGGGAACATCCTTCCATTGACTGCTTGACAAACTTTGTTAACTTTTTATCAAAATTTAAGGAATGTCTTCCGAAGGGTGACTTTGTCTCGACGTTTTGTGTGTCCCTGATTCATTCTCTTAGCATGTGTTCAATACCCCAGGATCACACCGACATATTCAAGTACATTAAAAACGTAGATCGAATTTGTTTCCTGATTCATAATATATGGAACAATGCTGACTCAGATGTGATAATGGACTCCCTTAAAGCTATTTTTGGAATAATATCAGCTATAGAAGAAACGGAGCCCTCATTTTGTCTTGGCGCAGTGGTTCGTAATATCCCTGAGAAAATGATTGAAGTAATTGTCAAGTATGCAATAAGTTCAAATGTTGACAATATGCGAATGACAACAGCATTACAGAGGGTGGTGGACTGGCTTCAATGGCCAACAGCGACTAACGTACACATGTGGATTATCACATTCTTCAGAAGTCTGGCTGGTGCCAAAAAATACAGCATTCTTATTACTGTCACAGAGACAAAGATAGAGCAGGTAAGAATCAGTCATTACTGTCACAGAGACAAAGATAGAACAGGTAAGAATCAGTCATTACTGTCACAGAGACAAAGACAGAACAGGTAAGAATCAGTCATTACTGTCACAGAGACAAAGATAGAACAGGTAGAAATCAGTCATTACTGTCACAGAGACAAAGATTGAGCAGGTAAGAATCAGTCATTACTGTCACAGAGACAAAGATAGAGCAGGTCAGAGTCATTCATTACTGTCACAGAGACAAAGATAGAGCAGGTAGAAATCAGTCATTACTGTCACAGAGACAAAGATAGAGCAGGTCAGAGTCATTCATTACTGTCACAGAGACAAAGATAGAGCAGGTAGAAATCAGTCATTAATGTCACAGAGACAAAGATAGAGCAGGTCAGAGTCATTCATTACTGTCACAGAGACAAAGATAGAGCAGGTAGAAATCAGTCATTACTGTCACAGAGACAAAGATTGAGCAGGTCAGAGTCAGTCATTACTGTCACAGAGACAAAGATAGAGCAGGTCAGAGTCAGTCATTACTGTCACAGAGACAAAGATAGAGCAGGTAGAAATCAGTCATTACTGTCACAGAGACAAAGATTGAGCAGGTCAGAGTCAGTCATTACTGTCACAGAGACAAAGATAGAGCAGGTAAGAATCAGTCATTACTGTCACAGAGACAAAGATAGAGCAGGTCAGAGTCAGTCATTACTGTCACAGAGACAAAGATAGAGCAGGTCAGAGTCAGTCATTACTGTCACAGAGACAAAGATTGAGCAGGTCAGAGTCAGTCATTACTGTCACAGAGACAAAGATAGAGCAGGTCAGAGTCAGTCATTACTGTCACAGAGACAAAGATTGAGCAGGTCAGAGTCAGTCATTACTGTCACAGAGACAAAGATAGAGCAGGTAAGAATCAGTCATTACTGTCACAGAGACAAAGATAGAGCAGGTCAGAGTCAGTCATTACTGTCACAGAGACAAAGATTGAGCAGGTCAGAGTCATTCATTACTGTCACAGAGACAAAGATAGAGCAGGTCAGAGTCAGTCATTACTGTCACAGAGACAAAGATTGAGCAGGTCAGAGTCAGTCATTACTGTCACAGAGACAAAGATAGAGCAGGTAAGAATCAGTCATTACTGTCACAGAGACAAAGATTGAGCAGGTCAGAGTCAGTCATTACTGTCACAGAGACAAAGATAGAGCAGGTAAGAATCAGTCATTACTGTCACAGAGACAAAGATTGAGCAGGTCAGAGTCAGTCATTACTGTCACAGAGACAAAGATAGAGCAGGTAGAAATCAGTCATTACTGTCACAGAGACAAAGATAGAGCAGGTCAGAGTCAGTCATTACTGTCACAGAGACAAAGATAGAGCAGGTCAGAGTCAGTCATTACTGTCACAGAGACAAAGATAGAGCAGGTCAGAGTCAGTCATTACTGTCACAGAGACAAAGATAGAGCAGGTAAGAATCAGTCATTACTGTCACAGAGACAAAGATTGAGCAGGTCAGAGTCAGTCATTACTGTCACAGAGACAAAGATAGAGCAGGTAGAAATCAGTCATTACTGTCACAGAGACAAAGATAGAGCAGGTCAGAGTCAGTCATTACTGTCACAGAGACAAAGATTGAGCATTTAGAAATCAGTCATTACTGTCACAGAGACAAAGATAGAGCAGGTAAGAATCAGTCATTACTGTCACAGGGACAAAGATAGAGCAGGTAAGAATCAGTCATTACTGTCACAGAGACAAAGATAGAGCAGGTAGGAATCAGTCATTACTGTCACAGGGACAAAGATAGAGCAGGTAAGAATCAGTCATTACTGTCACAGAGACAAAGATAGAGCAGGTCAGAGTCAGTCATTACTGTCACAGAGACAAAGATAGAGCAGGTAAGAATCAGTCATTACTGTCACAGAGACAAAGATTGAGCAGGTCAGAGTCAGTCATTACTGTCACAGAGACAAAGATAGAGCAGGTAGAAATCAGTCATTACTGTCACAGAGACAAAGATTGAGCAGGTAAGAGTCAGTCATTACTGTCACAGAGACAAAGATTGAGCAGGTAAGAATCAGTCATTACTGTCACAGAGACAAAGATAGAGCAGGTCAGAATCAGTCATTACTGTCACAGAGACAAAGATAGAGCAGGTAAGAATCAGTCATTACTGTCACAGAGACAAAGATAGAGCAGGTAAGAATCAGTCATTACTGTCACAGAGACAAAGATAGAGCAGGTCAGAATCAGTCATTACTGTCACAGAGACAAAGATAGAGCAGGTCAGAATCAGTCATTACTGTCACAGAGACAAAGATTGAGCAGGTAGGAATCAGTCATTACTGTCACAGAGACAAAGATAGAGCAGGTAAGAATCAGTCATTACTGTCACAGAGACAAAGATTGAGCAGGTCAGAGTCAGTCATTACTGTCACAGAGACAAAGATAGAGCAGGTCAGAATCAGTCATTACTGTCACAGAGACAAAGATTGAGCAGGTAGGAATCAGTCATTACTGTCACAGAGACAAAGATAGAGCAGGTAAGAATCAGTCATTACTGTCACAGAGACAAAGATAGAGCAGGTCAGAATCAGTCATTACTGTCACAGAGACAAAGATTGAGCAGGTAAGAATCAGTTGCTGCATTTACAAGTTACTAGTTTGGTATGTGTATGAGGGTTGTCTGGTAAAATTGTGGACATATTGCATGTTACTTAGGTTGAAAAGTATCAACACTGTGCTCTAATATTTTCACCACTTTTAGTACTTGGAATCGTCAGTACTTTATTTACATAAAGAACTGCACTCCAGTGCATCAAAACGTCATCATATGTCCCAATTTTTCCTCTGTTGTGTTTACCACTTTCCATTTCAGATGTTCAGAAATCTGCTGAAAATTAGATAAATGATTTGAAATTCTGAAAATGATGACCTAATAGATAGTTTCTTAAAAATGATCATTTTTTACAGCATCTGGATGTATTAACTATTTTCATTGTGAATTATTAGTCATGTATTCTTCGATAAACCCTGAGTTTTTGGTCATGCGCCCTAGGACTATACCCTGGACACATCTATAATCCTTATTCTTGTCTATATTTTCCCAGAAAATTTAAGATATACTTAAATATGATAGATAAACATTTTTTTGAAAATGTCAACTCAGCAGGCTCATTATTTTCAAATTAAAATGCTTTTTCAACGATTTTATCAGACAACTCTTGTCCTTATTGTTAATATGTTGCAATGGTTTGGCCAAGTTCATATTTCACTGGATTGATTATTATTATTTTTTTTAATAAAAAAAGGGTGCCGCAAGGCTAGAAATATCTAACTACATATCATTTAAAAAATCTGAATATTTTTTTTAAAGCTTATTTTTTTGTTATTTTTACAACAGGTGTGTCAGAAACTTGAGTTTGCTGCAGTCCGAGAGGGAGCGTTGAGTGTACTCACACATATGTTACTCGGCTTTCAACATTCACCCGAGCCTTTCCATAAGGTTAGTTTATTACAATCACCAGAGTCTTTTCCGCGAGATTATTAAATTTCACACAGATTATCTACATTCTCCTCCTGAACTTTTATAAAGTTTGTCATCGATGACGTACTGATCAGAACCATAATAGACCATGAATAATGGTAATCAGGAAAAATGTCAATGAATTTAATAGATGGCTGACACTGGGAAAATTATAAAATCTTTCATTTTTCAAGTCATGCTGTTGACTTCTCTTTCTTTAAAAAACATGAATTTGCTAAGATTGATTGGATCATCAATGAGAGAGATAACTCTGACTGAGAAAATAACAATTATTTCTGTAAAAAGGCCATTTTAGTCAAATTTTGCCTCGCAAAGTGTATTGAAATTGTGTGGCATGTTAATTATGAATTTTACTTCTTCTTGAAAATCATTAGCATTAAATCAGAATTTTATATGAGTGAAAACAGGTGGATAATGAGGACTAAGGACGAGTAATGCTATTTTTGAACACCAGCATGTTATCCTTTACCACCACATTTTTGTGTTGTAGATCCTCCCCCAGATGGTGAAAGTCATTGAGATCCTGACCAAGGAAAATATGAGCATGTTAAAGCAGTTGTCAGATCTGTTACATTGCTGTTTTTTCCTCCATGCTGGGTACCCTGATTTGTATGACCCGATACTGGAGGCTCTGAAGGTAATAGTTCCACTGCTGGGTACCCTGATTTGTATGACCCGATACTAGAGGCTCTGAAGATAATAGTTCTACTGCTGGGTACCCTGATTTGTATGACCCGATACTAGAGGCTCTGAAGGTAATATAGTCTACTGCTGGATACCCTGATTTGTATGACCTGATACTGGAGACTCTGAAGGTAATAGTTCTACTGTTAGGTACTCTGATTTGTATGACCTGATACTAGAGGCTCTGAAGGTAATAGTTCCTCCATGCTGGGTACCCTGATTTGTATGACCCGATACTAGAGACTCTGAAGGTAATAGTTCTACTGTTAGGTACCCTGATTTGTATGACCCGATACTAGAGACTCTGAAGGTAATAGTTCTACTGCTGGGTACCCTGATTTGTATGACCCGATACTAGAGACTCTGAAGGTAATAGTTCTACTGTTAGGTACTCTGATTTGTATGACCCAATACTAGAGGCTCTGAAGGTAATAGTTCAGGTATTTATAGGCATTGCCTCTGCCTAATCCAATCAGATTTTTCTAAATAAATGTTGACCTTTAAACTAATACCACAGTCATTGTAAAGTAAAGGGAGGTACCCTGGTAGAAAAAAAGCAGCACATAAGGACAGATAATAATAACATGATCCTTGAACCTTGGTGTATATTAGGAACAAGATATAATTTAGAATGTATCTTTTTTGCTTATTTGTTCCTGCCAAGAGAATCTGGAGATACAGTGAAACCCCTGTGTAAGGAACTAAGTTATCTTATGAGGAAGGGATGTAAATTTCTCAACTACTTCCTCATTATGTAATTTTGGGAGAAGAAAATTACATACAATGAATATGTTTATAAGGAAATTTTGTCTTAAAGAAAGTGAAAATTGTTTCCCCATTCTTGATCTTAAGATGTAATTTTTTCTATCACTAGCAGTGTTTGCTCTTGAAATATGATTTTCTGAAGCTGCTGAGTCAGTGTTATATCTGCACTTTGTCTCTTTTCCCTACCATACCTATTGTTAATGATACAATAAATATGTATTGTAGCAGTATTAAAGAGCATACAGTTACATATGCATACTCTCAGAAATGTGTGTGTGCATTCTTTATGAAGCTTATCATAAACATAAGAACTTTGTTAGAAAGAATCTCGCTATAAGGGACTATTTATGGATGTCCCCAAGAATTCTTTATAAGCCAGATTTACTTGTATGTTCACTAAAATAATAATCTATTTTTTTAAAAAGAGATGATATATGTAATTAAGTCTACAGATAAATCTTTGTATTCACACAAAGTTGCTATTATATAATGTTTGTAATTTGTAGGGAATCCCTGCTCCCAGTTCAGAAGAAATTAAATCCCGCCTTGAAGAGAGTCACTGGCAAGTTCAGAAATCGGGCACTTCTAAATATGTGTCAAAGGTCACTCAAAGGTCAGAGACAGGGAAAACTGGACTGTTTAACCTGGGAAACACATGTTTTATGAACAGCATCTTACAAGCCCTTTTCATGTGTGACAGGTCAGTGGAAATATTATGTAGGAGTTGTCTTCCATTCTTCCATTTCATACCTCTTTAACACTTGTTTTCTTATGTCGGTTTTGTTTTGGCTGTAGTCAAGTACTGTCTGTCATTTAATGTGTCTTACCACCACAATAGATACTTTTTATCTGTATTGTCACCCACGCTGATTGTATTATTTGTGTGATTTCAGCTTTAGGAGGGATACATTGTCATACCAGGCCTCCCCAGAACAACCAGTTATTTCACAGTTACAGCAGGTGTTTGCCTTCCTCAGTCAGACTCAGGTAATAACCAATGTCACAGGTAATAACCGATGTCACAGGTATAACCAATGTCGCAGTTACAGCAGGTGTTTGCCTTCCTCAGTCAGACTCAGGTAATATCCAATGTCACAGTTACAGCAGGTGTTTGCCTTCCTCAGTCAGACTCAGGTAATAACCAATGTCACAGATAATAACCAATTTCACAGGTAATAACCAATGTCACAGTTACAGCAGGTGTTTGTCTTCCTCAGTCAGACTCAGGTAATAAACAATGTCACAGTTACAGCAGGTGTTTGTCTTCCTCAGTCAGACTCAGGTAATAACCAATGTCACAAAGTAATAACTAATGTCACAGGTAATAACCAATGTCACAGGTAATAACTAATGTCACAAGTAATAACCAATGTCACAGGTAGTAACCAATGTCACAGGTAATAACCAGTGTCACAGGTAATAACCAGTGTCACAGGTAATAACCAATGTCACAGGTAAGAACCAATGTCACAGGTAAGAACCAATGTCACAGGTAAGAACCAATGTCACAGGTAATAATCAGTGTCACAGGTAAGAACCAATGTCACAAAGTAATAACCAATGTCACAGTTACAGCAGGTGTTTGCCTTCCTCAGTCAGACTCAGGTAATAACCAGTGTCACAAAGTAATAACCAATGTCACAGGAATAAAACAATATCTCAGGTTATAGATTGTGTCCCTATAAAATGTGTCAGTAGTAACAACCAATGCTTCCACCTCCCATACCCCCCCCCCCCCCCCCCCCCCCACACACACACACACACACACGTCACCAAATAAAAATGCAACATTTAATGTGTTAGTTACAACCAATGTCACATGGGATAATTATATAACAATCAAAATGTTAACAAAGAACTAGTATGTGTCAACGAAATGAAATCTGGTATTCCCAAAATGTCAAAGAAATCAATCTATTTTAAAATCTCAGATGTGATAATTTTTAGATTCTATACTTAATATCTAGAATTTATTAACTTTTTAACAATCTGCTTGACATGGTATATTCTTCTGTTGATAGCGTCCTGCCTATGCTCCTATGACATTTAGTAGAATGACCAGGCCCAGCTGGTTTGTCGCAGGGCATCAACAGGACTGCTCAGAGTATCTGCGATATCTGCTGGATCAGATTCATGAGCAGGAACGCACTCGACTGAAAAAAGAGAAGCTGGCAAAGGAATCAGCTGATGAGAAAGGTGAAAATCAGAAGACAGAAGAAACAGCTACTGATATGGACAGTTGTGATAACAAATCTGTGATAACGTCACTTATTGAGGATCATTTTGGGGGGATCATGGTGACAACAGTTACATGTTTAAATTGTAAAACCCAGTCGTCACGGAAGGAAGAATTCTCAGACATACCTCTGGCTTTCCCAGAGTATAAACCAGTCATCAGTCAGGAATCCGGAGATAAAACCAAACCAGAGACCGAACCGAAAACCCAATGTTTACATCTGAACGACCTGCTGCAGTATTACCTGAAGCCGGAGATGTTGACAGGGGATAACCAGTACTTCTGTGATAAGTGTGGTTCACTACAGGACGGGGAGAGGAGAATCTCCATCGTTCAGCCCCCCGAACACCTCATCGTCACCCTGCTACGGTTCTCTTATGATGCAAAAATACATGCCAGGTCAAAAATATTCCAGGAGGTCAAATATCCACGGACTCTTGTATTACCCAAAGATCAGACAACAGAAACAAAGAGTGGCAATTCACGGCGATCTCTGAGAAGTGCTGTGTCAAGACAAATAGAGAAATGTGGGGTGGATCTAAACACCCAGAAAGGAGAGGTGTATGGTCTTAATGCTGTTGTAGTGCATTCTGGGACATCTTCTGAGTCAGGACATTATTACGCATACTCTAGACATTCGCTGTTTCAGGATCCCGAGTCTGTGATGTCGACGTTATCTGACTGTACAGACGAGGACAGTATTGACTTCCTACAGGACAAGTGGTACCTATTTAATGATAACCGGGTCTCATACGCTCATTACAACTCTTTCTGTAGCGTCACTCAGCGCTTCACAAAGGACACTGCCTACTTACTATTCTACAAGAGAATCGACCCCCAGAATAGTGAGAATGGAGGGGTGGATCTCAATAAATCCATCAGACCATCAGAGGTAGATCCACCCCTACAGGATAAACTGAGACAACTAGTCAGCAAGGACAATGCTCTGTACCTACAGGTAATGTCACCTTTACAAAGTACATACTGGTTATCAACATGGTCTACATACAGATGTACATGTATTTATCTTTCACATTTACTCAATAGTTACATAATACCTGTTCTATCATATGATCAAAATATTCTGCAAACCTTCATGTTACCTGTACGTAGATGCAACCAACATAGTTTTCATACATACATAATGTACCTCACCTATAGGTAATAAGTAATTAGGCATCAACATACTTAAATGTATATTTCCCTGTGTTGCATTAAAAAGAATTATTTTGACTCACAGGAACAAGAAATAAGTGAACAGAAGAGAGCGTCTCGGAAGCGACCTGTATCTCAGACTTCCTCCTGGTTCTACAAACCTGACGAAGACCAGGGGCCACCGGGCAGCTGTGGAGGGTCCTCAGGGTTTGATAGCAGTGGACCCCGATTTGTCTTCTGATGATAGGAAGCTGTTGGGGGGCTCAGGATTTAATAACAGAGGACATTGATTTGTTTCTGATGCCAGGAAGCTATGGGTGTTCCTCAGGATTTTAGCAATGGACCTCTGTCTTTTGATGTCAGGAAGCCGTGGGGGTTCCTTAGTCCTCAGGGTTTGATAGCAGCGAACCTCAATTTGTGTTCTGAAGAACTCCCACATGGTTTACTTCATTACCAGACAATTTTGTCATTGCTGTAACTATTGCATTTATGAAGGATTTTAATAATTCTTAGCATTGCTTATCTTCAGTTATTATCAATTAAAAGTGAAAATGTTGTTGATTTGGGAAAAATAACATCCCCTGCCCGAGGGGATACATGTGTCCAATAAACAAGACGAAGATTAAAGTTATAACAGAACAGGATGATTACCTCTGTTAGTTACGTGTGTATGTCTGCAGGAATGTTTCTTCAGTTTAACGTTCTTTTTTTTGTTTTTTGAGAATCCTCCAATTGTGTATCTGTGATAAATTATGATATGACTGGTCCCATTGTATCTCGTGCTAGGCATAATGTTTACTTCTTTGAAATGATGTAAGTGGTACTGTATGATATGGTATTGTTATCTAGTACATATAGCTGTATCTAAGGAGTTGATATGTATTTATGGGCTTTGCAGAGTGAATGTTATACACTTAGTGGATTAAGCTGCATCCTACTTCATGCTTTCTACATCTTATAATATCCCAATTTCAAATACATGTAGTAATACATATAGTGTTTATAAATGATAAATCCTATTTTCTTTTTATCTGTAACAGTGAAAATAGTTCCCTTTTGAATTATTAGGTTTACAAAACTGCATTATCCTTTAAAGGTTTGAACTCACAAGTGTAGTATATATTGCCCATTTCTACGAGAGGGAAAAAAAATAAAAACCACACATCCTAGATGCCTTGATTCCCCCATGAACGGCAATATTTACCATTCTTACTGTCTTGTTAATGAAAGAACGTCCCCTTCTCTGTTTGTAATGTGCGCTGGAAGTCTCTGTCATGCCTGAACGCTATGGTATGGATGACAGATTTATTTGATGAAAATTATTTTAAATTTTTATTATTTTTTTGACTTTGGCTTTTGTCTACTGTTGCATAGCATGCATTTATAATTTGTTATGGACAATATTTGCTTTGAGTGATATTAAAATGTTTTTTATTAGCAGTAAGTATTTTGTCATTGTAAAACTTAACTGATTCAGTTTGGGCAGATTCACATGGCTTCTTAAAAAATGCAAAAGTGTGTTCCTTTTGCATAAAAAATCAAATTTATAAGCAATGTAACGCAGAGGTCGAGTGGAATGTGACAAAACCAAAAAAAAAAAAATATTTTTTATACTTCCTTGATTACATATAATGCTAAATAATGTATGCTCAAATCTATCCATTAGATCTCAGGATACCTTGTTTTAATAGTTAACCAGCTGATAATGTTACAGGCCTTGTCATACTTCACAGCTAGAAACAGATATTGCCAGATCAGCTGTAAATATTACTGGCCTTATCACAATTTACAGCTGTAAACAGGTACCAGCATGTCAACAGTAAATGTCACTGGCCTTGTCACACTTCATAACTGTAAACCATTATCATCAGACCAGCTGTAAATGTGTACTGGCTTTGTCAAACTTCACAGATGTAAACAGATATAACCAGACCAGCTGTAATTGTATGCTGGCTTTGTCACACTTCACAGCTGTAAACAGATATAAGCAGATCAGCTGTAATTATTACAAGCCTCATCACATTTCATAATTGTAAACTATTATCAGCAAGTCAGCTGTAATTGTGTGCTGGCTTTGGCACTCTTCACAGCTGTAAACAGATATCACCAGACCAGCTGTAATTATTCCAAGCCTCATCACACTTCATAATTGTAAACTATTATCAGCAGATCAGCTGTAATTGTGTGCTGGCTTTGGCACTCTTCACAGCTGTAAACAGATATCACCAGACCAGCTGTAATTATTCCAAGCCTCATCACACTTCATAATTGTAAACTATTATCAGCAGATCAGCTGTAATTGTGTGCTGGCTTTGGCACTCTTCACAGCTGTAAACAGATATCACTAGACCAGTTGTAATTATTACAAGCCTTGTCACACTTCATATCTGTAAACCATTATCATCAGATCAGCTGTAAATGTTACTGGCCTTTTCACAATTCAGAGCTGTAAACAAGTATTAGCAGACCAGGTGTAAATGTGCACTGGCCTTGTGGCACTTAACAACTGTAAACAGAAATTGCCAGACCAGAGGTAAATGGGTACTGGCCTTGTAGTAAATAACTGTAAACTGTTACTAGCAGAACAGCTGTTAATGTGTACTAGCCTTGTCACACTTCACATCTGTAAACTTTTATCAACAGGTTAGTGGTCTCATCACACTTCACATCTATACATAGATATCAGCTAACCAGCTGTAAATGTTACTGCCTTTGTCACACTTCACAGCTGTAGATCTGTATCAGCAGACCAGCTGTAAATTGTTACTTATACACAGCTATAAATGTCTTTTTAGCTCACCTGAGCTGAAAGCTCAAGTGAGCTTTTCTGATCACCCGTTGTCCATCATCCGTCCGTCTGTCCATCTAGCTGTCTGTCCGTCCGTCCGTCTGTAAACTTTTCACATTTTCAACTTCTTCTCAAGAACCACTGAGCCAATTTTAACCAAACTTGGTACAAAGTATCCTTGGGTGAAGGAGAGTTTAAATTGATAAAAAAAGGGCCAAGTCCCCTATAAGGGGAGATAATCAAGAAAAGACAAAAATAGGGTGGGGTCATTAAAAAATCTTCTTCTCAAGAACCACTGGGCCAAAAAAGCAGAAACTTATGTGGAAGCATCCTGGGATAGTGTAGATTCTTAATTTTTCAAATCATGACCCCTGGGGGTAGGGCGGTTCCACAATAGGGAATCCAATTTTTACATTGAAATATATAGGAAAAATCTTTAAAAATCTTCTTCTCAAGAACCACTTGGCCAGACAAGCTGAAACTTGTGTGGAAGCATTTTTGGGTAGTGTAGATTCTAAATTGTTCAAATCATGACCTCCCGGGGGTAGGGCGGGGCCACAATAGGTATTACAAGGGGGAAATTTGGTAAAGAATAGCATGGCCAAAGTTACTCGGGTGAGCGATGTGGCCCATGGCCTCTTGTTTAAATTATCTTAGTTAGGCCTGCAGGAAATCCGACATTGTTCACCTATTGCCTTTTCTCAATTCCCCCAGCATTCCTTAATAGCAGCTGATCGTACAAGCATTGTTTAAATCAACATTCAATATAACTAGACACCAGACCATCCTTGTCTGTAGGATTAAGAAGGATCCCATCTTGAGGATCAGCAATTTATACACCTACAAATCGTACAACTGAGCAAAATCACAAGTCTATGGTCTGACATGCATTGTAAATAACAAAACCAAATTTCTGTTCTAAATACAACCATACTTTAATGCTGTGTACATTATATACTGTACTAGTAAGCTGTTAATTACAAAATGGATATGTAAATCCTTATATATTTCAAACATTTACAATCAAATTTCTGATTTCTTTTAGAAGAACACATAAGATTGATAAAAATTGTATCCAGTCACAAACCATGGTAGATCTTAAAATAAAGAGAAAGTAATGAATCTTTAATACTCTAAACCAAAAGCACCAAAATTTATGCTTTTGTTCCCTTTCACCCATAAATGCTACAAACCAAAATTGGTTGAAAATGGCCATTGCAAAGAAGAAGCTAAAAATATTAAAAAAAAAATTCATTGACAATGCACAATAATAGATAACATTAATTCACCTGAATGACTCAGGTGACCTAAAAACATTAAAGAAACTATAATTCAAATTATGTAAACGTCATAAAAAATAAAGATTTCAATGAATGAACTAGTAGTATGTTTGGTAATGCCTTTCTGTATACATATTAATAAGCACCATTTTTATGACGTCGAGCTCTTGGAGCTCGAACGTCATCTAGCAAGCGCCCAGTTGAAATCGTGACCGGATATGTACGCGACCGAATGTGTCAGTCGATGCATCCGCAATAGAAAGTAGCAATAGCTATAAACCAATTTCTTTGAAAACGCTCAAAATGAATAATAGCTTGAAAATAAAACTGCATCAATTATATCTGCAATTAATTCTATTGCAAAACAACAATATTATGTTTTATTCTCACACAAGAAAAACGTGATGGTTGTTGCGGATGAATTTCTACAGAAAGGGTGCGTTGAATGACATGAATAACATTTCGGAACGATAACCGTGTAACATAAACAACACAACAGGAGGTAAAATAATTACAAAATTACATAAACACGAATACTACAAGACTGAAAAGATTGAATTTCTAAATCTTAGCTTTACTTATACAATCTTCTAACCAACTCTATCCTAAAAACCGATGATATTGACCAGTATTGCTGTATTTCTCCATTTCCTCAATTTCCCGGTATACCGTATACCACGCCCGATCGTAACTCGATCGTAATTGTAACAGAACAGAGTCTTGGTTGTAGTTTAGATGCAATCACTAATACAATGCTTTGACATTGGCAATTAGAAAAAAATATTATATAAATTCATGAAATCCTTCATAGTTCTTCAACTGACTGAAAAGACATGAACATATTCGACGGTGTCTGGTCAATTCGAACCCTGCTCCATTCGGACCATGACATAAGGCCCTAGACTGTAATTTTGATATTTTTTAAAACTATTTTTTTATTACGTTTCCTGAGTCACTCACTTGACTTATTGCTATCTTCAAATTCAAAATGATCTTTTGAAATTGTTTTTCCTCTTCGACGTCATTGAAGCCTTTCAGGCTTTTGATTATAATTTATTAGTGTTGTCATCGAGTAACCGGCTAACCGTCCAATAATGTGAGTATTGATTAGTAAATATGCTACTCTGTTACTCAGATATCTAGATATTTTACAAAGTAAATAAGGGAAACAAAGATTTTCTTATTTTGTATTAAATGTAAACTTATGTGTGTTGCAAATTTCATTTACCATTTGTCTTGACTTTGGGTTTCATAAAAACCATTGATTTAATTTGATTGGTTTCTCACAGTTTATCTAATGACTTATTTTGATTGCCAAGTTTTTAAAAGAAAAAAAACATCTATATAAATTTTAAAGAATTTACATATATTACAGTTACTAATCAATTTTTTCCTTGGCAAGGATGTTGAGGTTAAATGAAAACCACCGATCAGAAAATAAGCAAGTAACTGGATACTAAAAATTGTCTAATTTGACAACACTATCATTTATGTTATAAAAGTGTAGACATGCCCATACTGCAAAATATTTTTTAAACTAATTTCAACATTCATCTTGTAGAAAATGTGACATAACACATTTATTCAAATGTTTTTTTCCCAGAGAAAAAAAACATATACATAAGATATTTGAGGCACACTATAAAGACAAATAAAGAAACAAGCACACTTAATTGGGTGTAAAAGCCCTATGTCATATACAACTGTCTCATTTGAATCCCTCTGTGAATGGATTATCTCCCCCTTTTAGGTTAATGTCTACATATTTATCTCCCTTTCCTTTTTGTAACAGCTGTAATTTAATCGTAGGGGGATCCTCTGTTGATTTGTCAGTTTTTGTCAGATCTTCTGCATTAGAGGCTGACAATCGAATCACACACCCCTTTCCAATCAGCTGTCTCTCGTGAGCCATTGCTAACTGGGTCACCACGCGCCTCTCAACCTAAGGTAATAGTAAGACGGGTTTACATCTTCATATAAGAATCAATTTCATAAACTGTTACTATTTCAATAACTATGAATCATAATTTTATGCAATAGAAACTATTTCACCATGTTTTAATGTAACTAGAAATAATTTTTATACAAGACATCTGCCTGGGTACAATTTCTGTTGTGAACATGGATTCCATTTACCCAGTATTTATATACATGTATTGTTTCTATTTGTTTTGAATTTGTTCTAATTCAAATTTGTATCCAATCTATACTTTAAAAGCTTTTGTGCCTTCTGATCACTTTCAGACGAATGTTACAGTGCTGTAAACATACCGGTACCTGATATTTAATGGAGAGGGCTCTGTGTTACAGCACTGTAAACATACCTCATAATTAATAGAGTGGGCTCCGTGTTACAGTGCTGTAAACATACCTCATATTTAATGAAGCAGGCTCTGTGTTACAGTGCTGTAAACATACCTCATATTTAATGGAGCTGGCTCTGTGTTACAGTGCTGTAAACATACCTCAAATTAAATGGAGCTGGCTCTGTGTTACAATGCTGTAAACATACCTCATATTAAATAGAGAGGCTCCATGTTACAGTGCTGTAAACATACCTCATATTTAATAGAGCGGGCTCCATAATGGACATCATATCCATCAGCCAATACATCCACTACATTGTGGTCCCATAATAACTTTATGTCGTGTTTCTTTTCTGCCTGAAAAAAAATACTGTGATGATCTACAAATCTTAAACTTGTGTTTCAAAATTCTTAATCTGCATTAGAGATAAAATAACTGATTCTTCTGTAGACATGTGCACATAATTTTTGTTTTACATGAATATAAAAATGTGGGAAAATCAATAAAAATACAAACCTGGTCGGCCCAGTACTGTAGTTCTTTAGTGACTAGTTTACTCAATTCTGATCGGGAAAATGGTAAGAAATAGACAATCTCATTGATTCTCCCTAAAAACTCATCTCTCTTGAACGCCATCTAAACAAACAACATGAATTACCTTTACTAAAGTCCTAGTTTATTTTTCATTTCTCCTGTCCTACAGGTTTACTGTTATTCATGCTTACCTTCAGAATTGGTCGAACAACATCATCTTTAAATTTTCTAGATATAGTAATTTTCTCCGCAGCCTCCAATTCCTCTACAATTATTAAACATATGTGTACCGTATATCATTATTATACACATTTATCATTATTATACACATTTATCATTATTATACACATTTATCATTATTATACACATATATCATTGTTTTCTTAAAGTTGTATACTGTAAATGTATGTAAGTCAAATACAACTCTAAATGTCTTGCACATAAATAAGAACATTAAGAAATGCACTAAATCAAATCTACGCTAACTTATTCACAAAACAATTTCCGCCAAATATCGTACAAGCTTAATAAATTACATTTACAGTAATTTACAGTAATTGAGCACATAAGTGCTCGTACATGTATATAATTTTTTTTTTTGTTTGCAGAAGGAAAAGTATCACTGTCTATAACAATTTATCACTCAACATTTAATAACGGAAAGGTCATTTCTTTTAAATAAGATGTAAAGACAACATTTTCCAGTCTTTAGAGAACTTTACCCAGGGTCTCTGCATCTTTCCGTTTATTGTATTCCGCTGCTTCTGCTCGTAGTTGTAATGCATGACTGGCGATGACCTCACTGGCCAGGTTAGAGGTCATGATAAAAATAGCGTCCTTACAGTCAATAGTTTTACCTTTACCATCTGTCAGTCGACCCTAAAAATTAAATACCATAATTTAAATTAACATAAATACCATAATTTAAATTAACATTAACATGTAGTATTTCATTTCTATAACTAGAAATATGTCCATAGGACATGAATGCCCCGCCGAGGGTATATTAGTAATGCAACATTTTAACACAAATTGAGAAAAGTGAGGTCAAGGTCAAAGGAAAGGTCAAGGTGAAAAAATACTGATGCAGTTGAATAGCTTACATTAGTATGTATCAGCATATGAAGTTCGACACAAATTTAAGAAAAGTGAGGTCAAGGTCAAATGATAGGTCAAGGTCAAAAAAAAAATTGTTTATGCAGTTGAAAGGTTACATCGGTATGTATTAGCATATGAAGTTTGATAAAAATATTATGAATGGTTTTAAAATGAAGCTAAACACTAATTAAAGAAAAGTGAGGTCAAGGTCAAAGGAAAGGTCAAAGTCAAAAAATATTGATGCAGTTGAATAGCTCTCATCAGTATGTATCAGCATATAAAGTTTGACACTAATTTAAGAAAAGTGAGGTCAAGGTCAAAGGAAAGGTCAAGGTCAAAAAATGTTGATGCAGTTGAATAGCTCTCATCAGTATGTATCAGCATATGAAGTTTGATAACACTATCTTGAATGGTATCTTTAAAACTGAGCTAAAAACTTATTTAAGAAAAGTGAGGTCAAGGTCAAAGGAAAGGTCAAGGTAAAAAAATATTGATGCAGTTGAATAGCTCTCATCAGTATGTATCAGCATATGAAGTTTGATAACACTAACTTGAATGGTATCTTAAAATGGGCTAAACACTAATTCAAGAAAAGTGAGGTCAAGGTCAAAGGAAAGGCCAGGTCAAAAAATGTTGATGCAGTTGCATAGCTCTCATCAATATCTATCAGCATATGAAGTTTAATAACACTATCTTGAATGGTATCTTAAAATGGGCTAAACACTAATTCAAGAAAAGTGAGGTCAAGGTCAAAGGAAAGGTCAAGGTCAAAAAATGTTGATGCAGTTGCATAGCTCTCATCAATATCTATCAGCATATGAAGTTTGATAAAAATATGTTGGATAGTTTCTTTGAAACTGAGCTTTGAACAGAGCTAAATGCAAAGTGTGACGGAAGGACAGACGGAAGGACGGAAGACGGACATGACAAACACTATATGCCCCGGCCATATTCATGGCGGGGCATACAAATTGCTATAAATTATCTTAATAAATAATTTGCAATTTCATAATCATACTGGTTGAGTCATAGTTTTAATGACTTGTTTTTCTTATATAATAAACAAAGCATCAATATTGAAAATCAAAACAACAGGCAAGCATACATTGCACATAAAATGTTATCACTATATAAAGTACACATAGTTATACACTAGTTGCTGCCAATTTTTCCAACCTTGCCTCATCCATCTTTATAAAAAGGATGGCATCAATAAATTAACCCTTTTTTTCTTTCATCAAACGTGAGAGTAATACTGTAACATGATGGTCTGGGTGTGCCTGTTCACTTTACCAACCTACAGAATCATCAGACAACAGACAACAACACAGACAACACAGACAACCACAACATTGTCCTTACCTCATCAAACAGTTGTAAACCTCACCAACCTACTACACCATCACACAACAACACAGACAACCAAAACATTCTGTCCTTACCTCATCAAACAGTTGTAACATGATGGTCAGAACGTCTGGGTGTGCCTTTTCCACCTCACCAACCTACTACACCATCACACAACAACACAGACAACCAAAACATTCTGTCCTTACCTCATCAAACAGTTGTAGCATGATGGTCAGAACGTCTGGGTGTGCCTTTTCCACCTCAACAACCTACAACACCATCAGACAACAGACAACAACGACAACCACAACACTCTGTCCTTACCTCATCAAACAATTGTAACATGATAGTCAGTACGTCTGGGTGTGCCTTTTCCACTTCATCAAACAGAACAACTGCCTGTGGACACTCTGTTAATTTCTTGGTGAGTTGTCCCCCGTCCTCGTGACCAACATATCCTGGGGGAGAGCCAATAAATTTAGCCACCTGAATAAAAGAGGATGACATTTAGTGCTTGCATCTTGATGCACAGAAGTAAAGGAAAAATATTTACAGATAAATGAACGTTCATACAGAAAATACATGTACATGCTCATAAATGAATCAATATGATAGTCCTACTTTTTCACCTAGTACTACAAAATGAAGAATAATTACCACATTATAACAAATTACAGATAAATTTCAGCTACTAGTATATATGATGAATTGCAATTTCTCTGTTGAATGCCATACATAACCATCGAAAGGTGACTGTTCACTACAAAGCAAATATACTTTCCTTGTGTCATAGTTATTCATTACACATTCTTATACAGATTCAGTTAAAATGAACATTTTGAAAATTAGATTATCATCCCAAATGTTTGTGGGATAAAAAAAGGTCTGAGTCAAGGAGAAGTTTCTACTCACCTCATGTTTCTCCTGGTACTCTGACATATCAATTCTTATAAAGCCCTGAAAATTACACAGGTATATCTTACAGGATTCAATATTAATTAAAGTTAATCAAGAAAAACTCAAAATTCCACAATAAAAATGTTGCATATGGACAAAAAGAAGATTTTTTTTCAACCTTTTTGATGTCTTTATGAAGATACTTGGCGACCTGCTTGGCAAGCTCTGTTTTACCTACAGTGGATGAGAATGGAACTCTTTAGTTTGAGCTTCTACAATCCCCAAAAAACATATGGAAAAGTTTAGTGATTGTTTGACAGAGTATAAAGATAGGAAATGACCCATTTTAGAACAGATTAGAATATTTCTGTACAATTACTCAAGGTACATTTATCTTATTAACCAAAGCTAAATTTAATGAATAATATTTGATTAAGATGAATTGAAACTTACCAATTCCAGAGGATCCCAGAAAACTTACCAATTCCAGAGATCCCAGAAAACTTACCAATGCCAGAAAAACCAGAAAACTTACCAATTCCAGAGGATCCCAGAAAACTTACCAATGCCAGAAAAACCAGAAAACTTACCAATTCCAGAAGAACCAATAAAACTTACAATTCCACAGAAACTCAGAAAACTAACCAATTCCAGATAAACCCAGAAAACTTACCAATTCCAGAGTATCCCAGAAAACTTACCAACTCCAGAGGATCCCAGAAAACTTACCAACTCCAGAGGATCCCAGAAAACTTACCAATTCCAGAGGATCCCAGAAAACTTACCAATGCCAGAAAAACCAGAAAACTTACCAATTCCAGAATAACCCAGAAAAACTTACAATTCCACAGAAACTCAGAAAACTAACCAATTCCAGAGGATACCAGAAAACTTACCAATTCCAGAGGATCCCAGAAAAAGAAAGACCAGGGGATGGTCTTCATCATACCAGCCATTCTCCTTACGTCTTATTGCTACAAAACAATAACAGAGATATATACAGTAGCCATTCTTCTTATGTCATATTGCTACAAAACAATAACAGAGATATATACAGTAGCCATTCTTCTTACGTCTTATTGCTACAAAACAATAACAGAGATATATACAGTAGCCATTCTTCTTACGTCTTATTGCTACAAAACAATAACAGAGATATATACAGTAGCCATTCTTCTTACGTCTTATTGCTACAAAACAATAACAGAGATATATACAGTAGCCATTCTTCTTACGTCTTATTGCTACAAAACAATAACAGAGATATATACAGTAGCCATTCTTCTTACGTCTTATTGCTACAAAACAATAACAGAGATATATACAGTAGCCATTCATCTTACGTCTTATTGCTACAAAACAATAACAGAGATATATACAGTAGCCATTCTTCTTACGTCTTATTGCTACAAAACAATAACAGAGATATATACAGTAGCCATTCTTCTTACGTCTTATTGCTACAAAACAATAACAGAGATATATACAGTAGCCATTCTTCTTACGTCATATTGCTACAAAACAATAACAGACATATATACAGTAGCCATTCTTCTTACGTCATATTGCTACAAAACAATAACAGAGATATATACAGTAGCCATTCTTCTTACGTCATATTGCTACAAAACAATAACAGAGATCCTACCCTATGATGAGTTCCCACCTGTTCCTTTATGATTCTGTGATATTTATTCCATGGGCTAATTTATTAATGGTCTCATCATGCCCTTTTCCATGCACATAATGCTTATCACGAGCAACAATATTAATGGCTCTATCCTGTCCTATAATGTGCTCATCCAGTCCCTTCCTATGAAGCTTACCAGCAGCAACAGTATTAATGGCCCTATCCTGCTCTATGCTGTGTTTATTAATGGCCCTACCCCAGGGATCGACATTAACGGTTGTCCGATTGCCCGGGACAAGCAAATTCTCAGTTCGGGCAAGTGAAACTGTCGACTTCCTTGTCCGATCGGGCAAGTAAATGTTTCTCCTAGAAATATACATATTCTTTTTAGTTTACATTGATTTATAAATAAAAAGATAAATTCAACAGTTGATTTCCGCTAGGGACCTGACTGACATTGAATTGCATTCAGAATTCCTTGCTTAAATATCGGGTTCGTTATTCATTTTTCTTTCGTTTGTTTATTGTTTAACGTCCCTCTCGAGAATTTTTCACTCATATGGAGACGCCACCACTTGGTGGTGGAGAGCTGCAAATTTTGACCTATACTCGGCACTCAGGGCCATTGAGCAGTGAGGGATCTTTTTCGTGCCAGCACCTACTGCGACACGGGGCCTCAGTTTATATGGTCTCATCTGAAGGACCAGTCTCCACGTCCCATAGTGGGATTCGAACCCGCGACGTAAGGATCAACTCCTTACTCCACGACTCTAGAGCAAACGCTCTAATCACTGCGCCAGGCGGGCGACCATTTTTCTTTCATGGTAAATACGCCCTACGTCTAACAACTATGATAACTTCATATTTAGAAATTAGATTATTTATTCACTCAAAGAATATAAGTAACACAATGTATCCCGATCAAGATGTGTATGTTTCGTAGCAACTATCTTCCTTTGGCGTTGCTTCAAAATTATCTTTGAAAATCACGATTCACAAAAAGATCCTACTGAAATTAATATTTTGAAAATATGAATTTTATTAAAAGGAAACAGGGTTATTGCTGCATGGCAGTGTGTACGTGTTAAAAGGTTAAATTGACATTGACAGTGGTACACATGTATGTACAAAACGCAGCATTGAAATTTTTTTCATGTAGTTCAACTTGCCAAGTATACAGTAGTGTATTTGGTTACACTTTTTTTAATCATAACATTTAAAGTAATAAATAATTTTTTCTCCAAATTTGGGGCAACCAAGTTTTGCATTCGGACAAGTCAAAGTTTGAGATGACTTGTCCAAAGGACAAGTCAACCTGAAAGTTAATGTCTATCCCTGTACCCTGCTCTATGCTGTGTTTATTACTGGCCCTATCCTGCTCTATGCTGTGTTTATTAATGGCCCTATCCTGCTCTATGCTGTGTTTATTAATGGCCCTATCCTGCTCTATGCTGTATTTATTAATGTTTATTAATGGCCCTATCCTGCTCTATGCTATGTTTATTAATGGCCCTATCCTGCTCTATGCTATGTTTATTAATGGCCCTATCCTGCTCTATGCTGTGTTTATTAATGACCCTACCCTGCTCTATGCTGTGTTTATTACTGACCCTACCCTACTCTATGCTGTGTTTATTAATGGCCCTACCCTGCTCTATGCTGTGTTTATTAATGGCCCTACCCTGCTCTATGCTGTGTTTATTAAAGGCCCTATCCTACTCTATGCTGTGTTTATTAATGGCCCTACCCTGCTCTATGCTGTGTTTATTACTGGCCCTACCCTGCTCTATGCTGTGTTTATTAATGGCCCTACCCTGCTCTATGCTGTGTTTATTAATGGCCCTATCCTGCTCTATGCTGTGTTTATTAATGACCCTATCCTGCTCTATGCTGTGTTTATTAATGGCCCTATCCTGCTCTATGCTGTGTTTATTAATTGCCCTATCCTGCTCTATGCTGTGTTTATTAATGGCCCTATCCTGTTCTATGCTGTGTTTATTAATGGCCCTATCCTGCCCTATGCTGTGTTAACTCAATCCCTAGGATGCTTACCAGCAGCTACAATATTAATGGCCCCATCCTGCCCTATGATGTGCTCCCTCAATCTCTGTTCTAGGGGGAACTTTCTTCTCTCTTCTGCAGCCCTCTTCTCTTTCAATTCCAAAAACTAAACAAAAAAACCACATTGTATGAAAATAAATAGTGACAGTATAATTCAAAACCTCAATATAATATACGAGGGGTGATCAAAAAGTTCGCGAACTAATTGAATTACTTCCTTAAAAGAAATGATATGAGGTTTCAGTGTTTATTATTTTTTAAAACAGTCCTCTCCAATTTTTAATGCACATCTGCCATTGTTCTGCCCATGTGCGAATCACGTGATCAAGGTGGTCACGTGACATGCTTCGTAGCAGTCTGTTCACATAAGCTAAAAAATTTCCGAGTCTTATATTTCTTACCATGCAAGTTATTTTTTATAACAAGAACAGTCCATCTGTCAGAAATTGCCAAATCTCAGCAACAGGATAGGTAGATAAGGATATTCCTTCCCAGAATTAACATGGTGACCATAACAACCCGAGACCTCTGTCTTGGGAGCGTCGTTTTTTAAATGTGGATAAAGTATGGACACATTCTCTTTATCATATCTCATATGTTTAAAGTGTAAATTAAATGATATTTCAGGGATTTAATAATTGCATTATTGTTAAGATATTCAACTATTTTTCTAATCGTAACTTGGCGATGTTTTATAACAAATTGCTCAACTACGGACACATCTTTTCCCCGGCTTGCTTTTGTTGGGCAACAGAACAAACATTATTTTTAACCATCTCCCTGCCTTCACTAAAATAATCAATCTTATTAATGATTGAACTTCTGGTAAGTCTATTGCCTTCATAAACCTTGTACAAATTATCATATTCTACTGCAAAGGAATTTCCAAGATATAACGTTAAACTTTACAGCCGTTCATTTCTCGAGTACGACTGAGTCAACCATTTTTTGTCACAAGTCACCTACATATTGACATCATTTTCACTTTGTGACGTCACAAACACGGGGCAAAACATTATTTATCATCTGTTACTTATAGAACATGTGTATGACTATATATGTGCCAAACTTCATTCTGATCTGAATTGTGGTTTTGGAAATATTGAGATAGTTCGCGAACTTTTTGATCACCCCTCGTACATGTTTCAATTTCTTTATTTACTAGATTAAATAATCCTCATACCTTGCTCTCTGCATTTCTAAGAAGGTTTTGCAGTGATTGGTTTTTGGTGTAGTCTATCGGTTTGTGGCCATTAACATTTTCAAGAGTTGGATCTGCTCCTACAAGCATAAATAAGTTACTAAGTACAATAAAAAAAATCATGAAAAAGTTTCTATTTCTATGCATAGAATAATGAATGAATATTTTAAACTTTTTATAATGTTTTTACCACTCTCAGCTGTGAAACATGCTTTTATAAATCTTGAACTTCTGGGCCACATAGATTATTTTGTAGTTCCAATTCATTTAATTTTGAGGGTTCTTACCTGCATCTAGCAGCATTTTTACAATAGCGAAATCCTCCATGAGGACAGCATAATGTAAAGGTGTGCAGCCTTTAAAGTTGGCTCTCTGACTGAGGCGGTCATTGAACTGTTCTTCCCTGACCTCCAACACTGCAGAAAAAGGAAGGTTTCAAAACACCAAGTTTGACATTCTTAATGCAGTGCTTGGCATTCTTAACATGACATTAACTTTTTATCAATAAGAATGGCAAAAAAAAAAAAAAAAAAGAAGAGAAAAATCTTCCATTTCCTCTATAATACTTTTAGTGAGAAGTCTATAGCACAAGTAAGATCTAACCAGAAGTCTCTGATGAGACTGTAGCTCTACTGGTCTGTACTTATAACAAAAGAAAAGTTGCACTTGGATTAAACTTTGCAACATGCAGCAAACATTAAGAATTATGTATCTTAATGTAGTCTACTTTTGTGCCAAGTTTTATTGAAATCAAACAAAAACTGTAGGAGGAGTAGCATTTTGAAAGTATTTCACAGAAATTTCTATTTTGAGTAACCATGGCAACACCATTCCCTGAAATCAAAAACCGATATACATTATTATATAACGTAGTGTAGTCTAATTGTGTGCCAATTAGATTGAAATCAGATGAAAACTGTAGCAGGAGTAATTTTTAAAGGAATTTCACAGAAATTTCTATTTTTAGTAACCATGGCAACACCGTTCATCGAAATCAAAAACCGATGCACTAATTTATGTATCTTAGTGTAGTCTACTTGTGTGCCAAGTTATATTGAAATCAGACCAAAACTGTAGGAGGAGTAGCGTTTTGAAAAATTGTTTACAGACAGACGGACAGACAGACAGACAGACAGATGGACGGACGGACGCCGGACACCTTACTATCGCATAAGCTCTTCTGGTCTCTGACCAGTAGAGCTAAAAACAAAATCTACATTAAAATATACACTGAAGGCAAATTCAAGATTTCACATCTTCAACTATAAGAAAAATATATTTTACCACTCATAGGATCAAATCTATGTTCTCTGGCCATTGAATAGAATGTAGAATATTCATCTCCGAGGTTTGGATCAGCTCCAAACTTTAACAGTAATTCCACAAGTCTATCAAAGGAAGTTTAATATTTAATTTTTCTTGATGCCAATAATTATACAATGTCATTAGTCATCATAGAAACTATATGTAGCTATATACCTGGGTAGTAGATCCTCTGTCATAGAGTTATTTAAGTTAAATGAGAAGTTAGGTATAATGTCTGAAAGGTGCTTCAAATATTTGGATGTCACAGAGTTAGACATCTGACATGTACAGACTCTTTGGGGGGGGGGGGGGGGGGGGGGGGGTGAGATGATAACTCAGTAGGAAATTTTGTTTTTTTTTTACCTCTTAATATGAGAATAATTTAAGACCTGTTTTGCTTGTAGCTATTACCTAGAGTCATGATTGATAGATGCCACATGTAGTGCTGTCCACCCCAGCTGATGCCTGGAATTAACATCCATCCCACTTTTTATGAGCCTGGAAAAAAATAAATAAAGCCAATGATCTTTGATACTTTTGTTGAATTGACTGGTGACTTTCCATGATCTGTGGTAAATGCTTGTGATCAACAGATGTATGATATAAAGTTCAGTTTGTACCTTTCCACCTCTGTATAATCTTTCCTCCTTGCACTTGAAAGAAGTTGAGCTGCACCTGAGAAATAACATTTAATTTTGACATTTGATGATTAGAGGATAACATATGTCTCATACATGCATACAATCTATAATAACAATCAATGTGCATTTTAACAGATGGAAAGTATCACTTGATTAACAGATAGAAAGTATCACTTGATAACAAATACTTAAAAGAAAGTATTTATCGAGAAAAATTCTTTTTAAAAAATGCATATATTTTTTAAAAAATACACCTAATTAATTCCGTACTTTTAGTGAAAGCCATCATTGCAGAAACAATATATGTTAATTTATCAATGAAGGCAAGTTGGACTTCGATAGCCTCTGGAAAGTTGTTTTCAATGTTTATTTTGTCTAAATGTTAAGATTTGAAATCGAAAGTACATTGCAAATGGTGGATTTTATAGGGGTCTTGTCTTTATACATGCCATGCTTTCAATAACAGCCTTTCAGAGACCATTCACGTCCAACTTGCCCTTCATTGATATACATATATTATTTCTTCAATGATGGTTTTCACTAAAAGTACAGACTTAAGCAGGTGCTTTTTTTTTAAATATGCAAATTTTTGGAATTTTTTTTCTTAAAAAATATTTTTTTTAAATATTTGTTTTTAAGTGATACTTTCTATCAGTTAATCAATGATATATATTTATAAACTGTAAAAGTTTTAACTTTATACATTACATCGTTTTGGAGCTATTGTAAAAAAACAAAAATTTGAACATCTTGACCTTTGGCAAAACCTTAGCTAAGTTTCAATTCACATATTATTCATGAATGTTCGCGAACATTCTTTTTTCTGCTCTAACGTTGAAGCTTATTAATTGATGATGCAACAAAAATAATAAATGTCATCATTATTCTATCTTATATCAATCATTGCTCCATCTTTCACATAACAAATTGTCATTTTTACTCACTATTTCTTGATCCATTATAACAGTATGCGACAACACATAGAAGAGAACCGGTCCCAAACACGTGTTTTAATCTGCCCCTACTCCTAGCACCGATATATCGGACTAAATATAACCCCCACTTGTTGAAATTTAAGCCTTTTATATTGTATTTGGGTAGAAATTTACTTTCCAGTGCTTGATCAATTCTTAAAACGTGCTTTTTCCTAGAAACAAAGTTAACAGTGGTACGGACAAACTGTCTGCAAATTCTAGTAGCCATCGTAATACAAGTGGGTCGCTACTTTCACTTTACGTTCACGACAACACAATCAAAGTTAGTTATTGATGTTTAAAAATATGTCCATTGAAATTAAGATTCTTTTTTTATTGAGGAATTTTTAATAGGTATACGTTTTACTGAAGTAGACCCAATGCCATTGTACATTGAATATTTTAGATAACCTTAGAAGTCGTAATAATACCGACCAGTTTACGTTAATATCAGCTGTTTGGTCTCCACTCAACGTCCTGTGACAAAGAATAGAATTAAAGAAGTGATACTTATTGAATCGAAGTCAAAACTCAAACGGTATATGCTATTTTTGTGTAATTGTTATTTAATGACAATATATAATTTTAAAAAATACAATAATAATGATGACATCCATTATGTCTGCATTGGGTAAATATTTAAAGGGTTAAAAAATGAATTTTCTAAACATGATCTTATTTTTTAATGATATTTTATATGGTTATGTCTCTGACACAGATGAAGTTAGCGATTCTAGACAACTATGTCAAGGTCAGTGAATGGGCAGCCAAGTACATCAAAAGGAGGATCCTAGACTTCAACCCTGGACCTGACAACTTCTTCACACTGGGTCTACCGACAGGTGATACAGACATATTCATGTAGTCTGTTACTTTACAGTGTTACTGAAACATAGTTATGGCCTAATAATCAGAACATTCAATGTTAAAGCATAGTTGTGTCCATGCTCACATCTAGAAAATTTTTCCAAGGGGTTGTCCAAGGTCATATTTTCCTGACTTTACTAATTTGAAAGCTTTGAAAATCACAGGGGGTGGGGTGGGTGGGGGATTCATCCCCCCCCCCCCCCCCCCAACTAAATCTCATGCATGATGTCCCAATAATCAGAACTTACAATGTTACTAAAGGTTATTTTTCGATAACCTGCACAAAACAATGTTACTAAGACGTATATAATAAAGTTCCAGTATTGTACTTTATAGTGTTACTGATATAAATCTAGATTTCTTAATTAATCTTATGGATAAATCAGAGACCATGAATTGAGATTGTACAGTCAAGGGACATAATTATTCGCCACTTCAAAATGGCCACCATATTTTTTACATAGCACACCTTGATATTTAGGATCTGTTAAACAATTAATAAATGCTTATCTTACCTCAGTATTTTGTTAAGCTGCCTTTCATCTTTAATACTTCATTTAGTCTGCCAGGAATTGTCTTATACAGGTCCTCAATATAGGAGATTGGTACATTTTTCCAGGCAGTCTGAATTTCCGCCATAAGCTGATCTTTTGTGTTAATGAATTAGGCACGGGTTTCCAATGTTCTTTTTATTGTTAACCAAATGTTCTCGATAATATTGAGGTCAGGAGACTGGGCAGGCCATGATGTTGTAGTTTTGTTGTTATTGACGATGTATTCTTTTACTATATGTGCTCTATGAACAGGATCGTTGTTGTCCATAAATACATACTGGTTATCTGGAAAATGTCTGGCTAAAACGGGCCAAAGGTTGTTGTCTAATATCTCAATATATTTTCTTGCATTTATGTTACTTTCTACATAAGTTAATGTTCCTATTCCTTTTATACACACAAAACCCCAGATCATGATACTCAGGTGTCGTCGAGATGGCAGACACGCTAGCTGCGCAATGTATTTTTCCTCGTCTTTTCTCCATATATAAACTTTCTTATTTTTTTCCAATAACTATCTGGCATCCATCACTAAACACCCATTTATTCCATTCACGATCAACAGTCCAATTTCTTCTCTCCTTGCACCACTTACAGCGAGCTTTTTTGTTGGCTTCGCAAATAACGACTTTTTTCTTGGCAACCCTCCGTTTGTATCCCAGCTCTTGAATTTTTCTTTTTATAGTTCTAGTACAAAATCTATGATTGTTTCCCTCATTTATAATACCTGTAATGTCCTCGTCTGTTTTCTTAAACTACACGTGAAAGTTTGTTTTTTTCTCTGTCTGTAAACACTTTCTTCCTTCCCCTTCCCCGTCGATTTTCTACCTGTTCCATTTCAGCAAACTTATTCATGATAATATGTATTGTAGACCTAGGAATTCTTAATATTCTCTCCAATTCTGATGTATTTCTGTTCTCTTTATATGCTTTTACAACCATACTTCTGACAGATTATCTAATCTTTCCCCTTCTGACCCATGTTGTTTTTACATAAATTTATCGACAAACAATAAAGCAGAGTCAGCAGACGACAAAAATATTGTGTATACATCATAAATTTTAGTATTACAACACAAAGATAAAAATAGAAGGGAAAAATCTTTTGTCTAATAATAGCACTCAGCCCTACTTTATCGAACATGTGAGAAAACATGACTCGATTTGCGCAGAAGTGGTGAATAATTATATGTCCCTTGACTGAATGTCATCTCCTGAAATGGAAGCCTTCAGTTGAGTGGAAATTTTGGAAATGAAGATGGTGAAAATTTTTTAATTTCTGAAATATGTTTCTATTCCTGAAAATTGATGCACTAGCAAATACATTGTAGATCATTTTTATATTCCTAGCTAATACTGTACCAATTTATGTCATTTTAAGGTCAACTAAATAATTCATTTCAAAGTATGAACTACATAAGGGACCTACTTACATACATGTACATGATTATAGAGTAGTACAGCATTAGATTTTAGGTAATCTTTCCACAGAATTTTTGAACTGTTTAATGATCATTACTTTTAGGAAGCACACCACTAGGGACATACAAAAAACTGATAGAATTCCACAAAGCTGGGGCCCTGAGTTTCAAGTACGTCAAGACGTTCAACATGGATGAATATGTTGGTACGTTAAATCTCTATGAATGACATTTACTGGGATTAGCTATCTCTAAAGCTGAAGAAGAGTTATGTTTAACAATTAGGTTGTTTTCTTGTAGGAAGATATATAAATTTGTATTGATTTTTTGAAGGACTTCCAAGAGATCACCCAGAGAGTTATCATTCCTTCATGTGGACCAATTTCTTTAAACACATCGACATCCAGCCAGAAAACGCCCACATTCTGGACGGCAATGCCCCAGACGTCATGAAGGAATGCGATGATTTTGAGAGGAAGATTGCAGAGTCAGGAGGCATTGAATTGTTTGTTGGGGGTAAGTGATGCTGGAAGTTTTTTGTTATTTGAGGAAAGGAGTTCATGTATTACAGGGGACTATGAGTTGTTTGTAGGGGGTGGTATTATGAAAGGTACTGATTTGTTTGTAGAGAGTGAGTACATGTATTACAGTAGATACTTGTTTGTAGGGAATGAGTATTACAGGAGATGTTGAGTTGTTTGTAAGAAGTGAGTGTTACAGGAGGTGTTGAGTTGTTTGTAGGGGGTGAGTATTACTAAATATATTGAGTTGTTTGTAGGGGGTGAGTATTACAGGAGATGTTGAGTTGTTTGTAGGGGGTGAGTATTACTAAAGATATTGAGTTGTTTGTAGGGGGTGAGTATTACAGTAGATATTGAGTTGTTTGTAGGGGGTGAGTATTACAGTAGATATTGAGTTGTTTGTAGGGGGTGAGTATTACTAAAGATACTGAGTTGTTTGTAGGGGGTGAGTATTACTAAAGATATTGAGTTGTTTGTAGGGGGTGAGTATTACTAAAGATATTGAGTTGTTTGTAGGGGGTGAGTATTACAGTAGATATTGAGTTGTTTGTAGGGGGTGAGTATTACAGTAGATATTGAGTTGTTTGTAGGGGGTGAGTATTACTAAAGATACTGAGTTGTTTGTAGGGGGTGAGTATTACAGGAGATGTTGAGTTGTTTGTATGTAGTGAGTATTATAGAAGATATTGAGTTGTTTGTATGAAGTGAGTGTTACAGTAGATATTGAGTTGTTCATAGGGAGTGAGTATTACAGGAGATATTGAGTTGTTTGTAGGGAGTGAGTATTACAGCAGATATTGAGTTGTTTGAAGGTAGTGAGTATTACAGCAGATATTGAGTTGTTTGTAGGAAGTGAGTATTACAGGAGATATTGAGTTGTTTATAGGGAGTGAAAATTGCAGGAGATACTGAGTTGTTTGTAGGGGGTGAGTATTACAGGAGATGTTGAGTTGTTTGTAGGGGGTGAGTATTACTGGAGATATTGAGTTGTTTGTAGGGGATGAGTAGTAAGGAGATATTGAGTTGTTTATAGGGAGTGAGTATTACAGGAGATATTGAGTTGTTTGTAGGTAGTGAGTATTACAGGAGATATTGAGTTGTTTGTAGTTAGTGAGTATTACAGGAGTTATTGAGTTGTTGGTAGGGAGTGAGTATTACAGGAGATATTGAGTTGTTTGTAGGGAGTGAGTATTACAGGAGATATTGAGTTGTTTGTAGGGAGTGAGTATTACAGGAGATATTGAGTTGTTTGTAGGGAGTGAGTATTACAGGAGATATTGAGTTGTTTGTAGGGAGTGAGTATTACAGGAGTTATTGAGTTGTTGGTAGGGAGTGAGTATTACAGGAGATATTGAGTTGTTTGTAGGGAGTGAGTATTACAGGAGATATTGAGTTGTTCATAGGGAGTGAGTATTACAGGAGTATTGAGTTGTTTTGTAGGTAGTGAGTATTAAAGGAAATATTGAGTTGTTTACAGGGAGTGAGAATTACAGGAGATACTGAGTTGTTTGTAGGGAGTGAGTATTACAGGAGATATTGAGTTGTTTATAGGGAGTGAGAATTACAGGAGATACTGAGTTGTTTGTAGGGAGTGAGTATTACAGGAAATATTGAGTTTTTTGTAGGGAGTGAGTATTACAGGAGATATTAAATTGTTATTAGGGAGTGAGTATTATAGAAGATATTGAGATGTTTGTAGGGAGTGAGTATTACAGAAGATAATGAGTTGTTTGTAGGGAGTGAGTATTACTGGAGATATTCAGTTGTTTGTAGGCAGTGAGTATTACAGGAGATATTGAGTTGTTTGTAGGCAGTGAGTATTACAGGAGATATTGAGTTGTTTGTAGGGAGTGAGTATTACAGAAGATAATGAGTTGTTTGTAGGCAGTGAGTATTACAGGAGATATTGAGATGTTTGTAGGGAGTGAGTATTACAGAAGATAATGAGTTGTTTGTAGGGAGTGAGTATTACTGGAGATATTCAGTTGTTTGTAGGGAGTGAGTATTACAGGAGATATTGAGTTGTTTGCAGAAAGTGAGTATTACAGGAGAGACTAATTCTTTAGGAACAGTCTTTAATTTTATTTTGTAGTCACAGCATTTTTATTGTTTTTATGGATTCTTTTAAGTCTAGTAACTCCCTGTTTAGATCCTAAATTAATCCTTTCTCTATGTAACTCAAAGAGTTCTGTGTGTATTTCAGGAATTGGGCCAGATGGTCACATTGCCTTCAATGAGCCTGGGTCCAGTCTTGTGTCCAGAACCAGGATTAAGACCCTCAATAAGGACACTATCATGGCTAACGCTCGCTTCTTTGATGGTGACATGTCTAAGGTCCCCCGCCAGGCCCTCACAGTGGGTGTGGGTACAGTAATGGATGCTAGGGAGGTAAGTATAATACTAATGATTATAAACACAGGACAGTTTCACTCCAAAAATAGTCAGAATATTTTTTACAGTAAATCTCAAGGTAAAACTTTGGCCCCTTGTGACCTTATCTTTGCTTCCAGTGGCATGGTTTCAACAAACTTGGATTGACTTTATATGAAGATTCTTGATTAAAGTTTGACAATTTAGAGCTTTTGAGAAAGAAAGAATAAAAATGTTGCCTTATGTATATACCATTGAACTTCAGTATGTTAAACACTGTCATCTCGAACACCATGGATATGTTGAAGAGAAGTCCCAAAACCTTATTCTTTAATTTTTTACCCTGGATATCTCGAATCTTCTGATATCTTGTAAGTTTTTTCTCAGTCACATTGAGTTCAAGATAATGAGGTTTGACTGTATTTTTTTGTAACACTTTTGACCCCTTTTCTTGGTCCCATTGAGGTCGAGATAACGCGATTATCTGTATTTTTTTGTAACACTTTTGACCCCTTTTTATTTTCCAATCCTGGTCCTGGGTGTCAGCATGGTTTTTAAAACATGAATGAACAAGATTTCTTTGTGAAACACTGATGCCCCCATATGGCAGCTCATGGCCATGGTTAAAGTTTTCCAAATGTAGGTTAAACATCAAGGTCAAGAGGTCAAAAATGTTACAACCCAAAGACAGGTCTTGTCAAAAGGTATACACATGTGAAATTTGAAAGTGCTAGCTCTAGCAGTTCAGAAGTTAAGGCAAAGGTTAAAGTTTTTCAAAAGTAAATCAAATCCAAGGTCAAGGTCATGAGGTCAAAAATATTGTTACCCAGAGAAATATCTAGCCACAAAGAATATACAAAATATGAAATATGAAAGCCCTAGAATGGTATGGCCAAGGTTAAAGTTTTTAAAAGGAAAACAAAAAAAAACTGGAGACCAACACCTTGAGGTTAAAATTGTGGAAGATTCTCACGTGTGGATACCGAAAGGTATTCAATAGGGTCTGTACCTAAAGTTGTAAACTTGAAGATATAAAACAGAGTTGGTGACCTGTTTTTTTTAAAAGGAGTTAAAACTCCAAGGTCATGATAAGGTCAGAAATGGTGCCCAAAGAAAGATCTTTTCACAAGGAATAAACATGTGAAATATGACAGCCCTAGCACCACTGTTCAAAAGATACGGGCAAGATTAAAGTTTTTGGGGAAAGACAGACCAAAAATAAATGCCCCCGAATCTGCACAAGGATGCTAGTAAAGTTACAGTAGTAATTAGTCCCCTACCGGTGAAACCAGAGGGGACCTTAAGTTTTCTCCTCATCTGTCTGTCTGTCCCTTTGTCTGTCTGTCCCACTTGGTTTTCCACACTATTTTCCTAAACTCTTGCAGATATTAAGCTGCTTTTTGGTATGTGAGTGTACCTTGATGAGTTATAGATCAGTTTTGCATTTTCTTCCACTTCAGTGATTTTTGACGGAATTAAGGCATTTTTAATTTTTAAGGGGAAGCAGATTACACTTGCTGGTAGGGGACAAGTATTGCTTATGCAATACTCTCGGAGTGCTTGTTTAAATAATTTTATTTCAGTAGAATATCAAAAAAATATTAAAAAGTGATTGTGTGTCTTGGTAGCTACTTGTTGATTTTATAGGTCATGATTCTGATTACGGGGGCACACAAGGCACTGGCCCTCCACAAAGCTATCGAGGAAGGGGTGTGTCACATGTGGACTGTCTCCGCCTTCCAGCAGCATCCCCGTTCTATTTTTGTTTGTGATGAGGATGCCACGCTAGAACTGAAAGTCAAAACCGTCAGATACTTCAAGGACTTGATGACCATTCACAACCAACTTGTTGATGACCCAGTAAATGACAAGATCAAGGGTGTTAAGTCCAGCTAAGTCCTGTTGGTCATTACCATGGCAGGAAACTGTAAGGTCTACTATGGCTGTACAACAGCTGGTTTTACAAGCTAGTTTTGCTAGACATTATTGATTGGTGCTTAACATTTTCATTTAAATTTTTAAGTCTTAAGTTTACTATCTCTGTTCTGTATATTCTGCTCCATTATTTTTTTTGTATATTAATCATTATATTTAGCATTATTTAGTCAACAAAAATTACCTCAAGTAGAATGCAATATTTACATACATAATTTTACCGCAGGTAGAGATAATTTATCTGTACCTATGTTATTTTTATTTTCAATTAGATCTTTTAATGTAGTGCTTTTCCAGCATATTGGTAATCAAAATTGTCATATTATATAAAATGTCCATTTTTGTAATGTTTGTTAAACAGGAATTTTCTTTGCCAAAGCCTGTCTCATAAATCACCAGATCTGAGTAACTGATGTATGGGTTATCTCCCTTTTTCAAATAATGACTGTATCCTATTCTTGTATCCTACTTGTTTGTATCCTTAGTACATGTATGTTTGTATTATATTTTCAATGACCCCCTGCCACACTGTAACTAAATCTAATAAAAAGGTTGTGTGCATAACTACATAACTGCTTACCAGAAATTCAGGGTAAAGAATCATAGAAAGGCTAGTTTTAGTATAAACAACATTCCAAATTTGTTGTATGATGTCATTTTGAATAAATAAAGGCTATAAAGAAGTGAAAATAGTGACCATATTGTCTGTGTCAGCAAAGTTAAACATGAAGTGATGTTTGCACATATGTAGGATGTCTGTCTGTGCCAATGTTTCTTTTGACAAGATCTTCAGTTTTACGTAACAGATACTATATTTGAAAAAATTGCACCTTGAGAAAGAAAACATTTAAGGAAAACAAGTGGTGTATTTTTTTTTTTTTTTTTCAAATTACTGATTTGAACTAATGGGGCTTGAACATACATTCACTTACCTTTAAATTCTCCCTCACTTTGTTCTTCTGAATAAAAATTATTTCTATTTCAAGGTCAGACAAATATCTACTTTCCTCAAATATCTACTTTTGTGTCTCTTTGTAATTTACCAAAAATATTTATAATTATTGTTAACTTGCTATTTCTAAACTGTTTTTAAAATATCTTTTAAAAAATAAAGACCAAAAAATTGTGATATAAGCAATTCAAGTTATTTCCAAAAGGATTATATAGGAAACATCATTTTCCAATGCCTTCCACAAATCCCTGGTAAGGCTCCTCAAATTTTTGTGAGGAATCATGTTAAAGTAGAAATACTTCAATGACAAATTCTAGGGAAAAATTAAATATTATTGAGGAATGTGTCGTCTGACCTTAAGTAATAATAAGATAGACCAAAGTAGGAGAACTACTCACTATAACCTTTACTCAATTAACATGCATTCTGTGAAATTAATACACATTTATGATATTTGATTATTTCTGTCAACTAAATATACATAAACTGGTAATCAGAAAATGTCTCCTTGTTATGAAATTAAATTCTTTGAACCGCATGAATATACATGTTTCTAGGTTATAGCGAGAGTCGATAAAGAATTGAATGACCTAATGTATTTATAGCTACTTAATCACATGTTCTATGAATATTTATGGCAAGTAAACAACAAATTGAATTTTATGTAGCTATATTTCTGGTGTCATTGATCCAGCTCTTTGGGACTTCTACATTTAAGATTGAATGCATACTTCGTTACTAGAAAATTAGATTAAGGACAGATGCTACAAACTTTTTTCAAAATTATAAAAATGTAACAACTAAATCTAAGTAAAATGACCAAGTTTAGCTGCAAAGAATTTCATTAATAAAAAGTGATAAAAAATTGTATAGATTAATAAGGGTGATGGCAAAAAGGAAGAAATTTGAACATCATAGTCTAAATTTCTTAAAAAATTATAAATTTGATTTATGCATCATTTACCACCAAAATATGTCCAAAAATATATACTAATCCATGCATCCAAATTTTCACTTGCACATGTATCATTGTTATACAGAATTACTAGTAATAATCTTCCACTTACCAATAATTTTGTGGTATGTGATCTTTTCTCTCAACTTGTAATTTTGTCAAACTTTTAAGCAGAGATGAGATATATTGATCACATACTAGTAAGTAAATTCAGTAACTAAAAATAGAAAGTCATTCTCATATTTCATGGCCACCTTCCCTCTTCCACTATATATTTACAGATGCTTACAAAGGGCAGATAACTTTGTTCTTGAGAGATGCTTCTCCGTTCTCAAAATGTATGCATAATACGTAGTAATCAGTAAACCTCCCAACTCAGTTGTATTGGATCTGGCTCAAAAATAAGACACGATAAACAGTATCATTATAATTTATTTCTGGGCCCTACTGGGCATAAAAACAAATTTACAAGCACAATAGATTTTGGTTTTATCACAGATGATTTCAAAGCATTTTTATAATATGAAGACACAAACGACAGTGTGTTTATCACAATCACACTACTAGCAGGAACTGGGGTTATGTTAGAGTTTCTATACAGGAAACATCACAAAAAATGAAAAACAATTCTACTCCAACTTTATAAAATTTTATCCATAACTTAGTTTTTAGAATAACTCTACAACATCTACAAGTAAATAAAAACATCAGCAAAAAATGCACCTATTTATTAAGGAAAAAATCGAGGAGACATGATGACATTTGTAGATTGTAAGAAGACAGACAGCTCACAAAAAGGGGACAACAAAGGGTTTTTTCTTAGAAATCAGCATCAAATGGTATATCCTTTCACAATTTTATAAATACCTCAGCCTTAAAGCAAAGTTTTCAAAACAACAGTGATTTCCCTTTCAAAATGATTTTTTTCTTATCACAGTGATACAATTATGATTACACAGCCCTCGGTGAATACGCCCATATACAAAAATATCAACAATTCTTACAAAAAATTCCACCAAAAATTAAATTCTGGAATTTTTATGTGTTGGGTTCATGTTTAGTAATGAAATTTAATTAATTACTGGTAAAATCTATGAAAAATTTGAAAATACAAAGCAAATACAAAAAACAATACAGAATTTACACAGACGTGTAAGTTTTTGATAAACTGCCATTTATAAACACTACCTCTCTGAACTGACAATGACAATTTACTTAGAACTATAAATGGATATGAGGAATATTTGCAAAAAATTTAAAACTTAAGACAGCTCAAAAAAGTTTCCCTGAACATGTAATAACAATAAAAAAAAAAAGATATACAGAAACTATCTCTCATCTGCTAGAATAATAATCACACATTTTCACAACATTCATAAAATTCACAAAATTTGAATGGCACAAACAAAATGACCAGTATAATGATAAATACACTGAAGTGGACCATAAACCTGGAAAATGCTCTATACCACTACATAATCACACAGATAAGGTTTGTCAAAAAAGCTCTAAAGTGGGCAGTATTACTTTTACATTATACACTTTTGATTATATCTTAATGATGCCTCTTTATAAATGGTATATATATATTTTTTTAGAGGACGGAATGTCTGCTATTGGTATAATTTATTTCTGTTCCTATTCAGTTATTACTCAACAGATTTTTATAATTCTTTTACTCGTGTGTTAAGCTTTACAGTTTACGGATCTTACACTATAACATGGACATGGACGACAAAAGTCTTAGAATGACTGAGAATCGAGAAAGAAATGTAACAGCTACTTTGGCACAAGAGTGTTCTAAAATGTCGTCAATAAAAAAGCCTCTCCTATGAATGTTGGATAAAAAATTCTTAGTGATAACTAAACAGCAATTCCTTCCACACAGATATATATAAATCAATCAGCTACATATATTTCTATACATAATTTTAATGAATTGGTCCATGATTAACAATGGGACTATGAATTTATCTACTGATACAGGAGATCGTCACGTAGAGAATGTTATAATATCCTTAAGGCATATTTACGAACCTTACACAAGCCAAAATAATCCACACTTATAATGAAAAACAAATCTAACCCAGAACGGAATACCCTTTTACACGTCTGTGATAATCTATTGAAAGGATCCACCAAACATCTTTATTAATGAAGATTTAGGCAAATTTACAAATTTAATACAATATAAAAATAATATATTTAATGACTATTTTGTGATTTCCCACAAGATTTTTGATTGTTCTATTAAAGCAGTACTATATGTATTAATAAAGCAGTACATTGATAGTGGGGGACTTTATTTATAATCCCCTATAGGGTTTCTCATGGCAATTCTATTAATAGTACCTGTACTTTAAAGGCTATATGTGAAGGGCACATGAGCTTTACCAGAGATAATTCATATATATAATTCTAAATGTTTACTTCAGAGGGTTTATACTACAACAAAGGTTTACATCTATGTAACAATAAGTAGAGAGTAAGGGTCACCAGTAAAACATTCAAAGTAAGGTAGAATGCCGACAGTGATATAATGAAGAACTTGGTCACTTGAGAGAAGAAAAATGGCTGAGCAGAGGAAACACAGAACACATGGTTGTCATTACAAATAAAAACAAGTCACTCAAAAATAGAACTACTCTCTGGAACTGAGGATCACAATGTTGTAACAAATATACAGCTATATAATTTAACAATAGTCTTAGAATATAAAATTGTCAAAAATACATATTAAAAAGTTTTGCAATACATAAAATTAAAAACTCTTTACATTCATCGCACTATAGTTACAATAACATAAAGGCACACACACAAATACAGGCACACATACAAACACACTTCAGAATCAGCAGCGTCTTGTGCCTATAACTAAATGTTTAAATTAAATCCCACCTCTCTCACGGTAAATGTTTATAATAATGAAAGACGACATTTGGTCACAGAGATATAAATCAAGCTACCTGTACATGAACTTCCCTAGTACTCCACTGTATCATTTCACCTCTCCTTGGCACCCAGTCCAAATGAGATCTTAATGTATTGTCCATACTTGGACTGAATGTCAGAGCAATGAACCTGGTGAGCAATTGGTCTGTGCCAAACAAGGTCACCTGTCTTCTCTCTCACTCATTCTCCTCACTAGATGGCAGCACATCATTAGCCCTCAGTCAGATGCAGCACCATCCCCGTGGCTTGGCAGTTCATCAGTTTATACAAAACCTGACGTTAAGCTATCGTTGTTGTAGTTTTTGTGCTGCCTCCATTACGCATTCTGACGTCTTGCTCAGATGACCGTGTGTCAGTCCGTGTCTCATGATTTGAGATTACGTCTCCTGTGTCCTGAGTATCGATTGAGTGAGCAGAGTCACGGCGATTATGCTGACTTTTCTCCCAGAACTGAGCTTTTACGATAGAGTCTGGGAACACTGTTCTCTGGAAAATCCGGATCACAAATCTGGAAGACCATCAAAACAATTACCAGCAGTCAAAATAACTAGAAATATGTCCATAGGACATGAATGCCCCGCCGAGGTATATTAGTAATGCAATATTTTAACACAAATTAAGAAAAGTGAGGTCAAGGTCAAAGGAAAGGTCAAGGTAAAAAAAATATTGATGCAGTTGAATAGCTTACATCAGTATGTATCAGCATATGAAGTTTGACACTAATTTAAGAAATGTGAGGTCAAGGTCAAAGGAAAGGCCAAGGTCAAAATTTGTTGCTGCAGTTGAAAAGACTACATCAGTATGTATCAGCATATGAAGTTTGATAAAAATATTATGAATAGTTTCTTTAAAACCGAGCTTAACACTTATTTAAGAAAAGTGAGGTCAAGGTCAAAGGAAAGGTCAAGGTAAAAAAATATTGATGCAGTTGAATAGCTCTCATCAGTATGTATCAGCATATGAAGTTTGACACTAATTTAAGAAAAGTGACGTCAAGGTCAAAGGAAAGGTCAAGGTCAAAAAATGTTGATGCAGTTGAATAGCTCTCATCAGTATGTATCAGCATATGAAGTTTGATAACACCAACTTGAATGGTATCTTTAAAACTGAGCTAAAACTTATTTAAGAAAAGTGAGGTCAAGGTCAAAGGAAAGGTCAAGGTCAAAAATATTGATGCAGTTGAATAGCTCTAATCACTATGTATCAGCATACAAAGTTTGTTAAAAATATCTTAAATGGTTTCATTAAAACTGAGCTAAACACTAATTTAAGAAAAGTGAGGTTAAGGTCAAAGGAAAGGTCAAGGTCAAAAAATGTTGATGCAGTTGAATAGCTTACATCAGTATGTATCAACATATGAAGTTTGATTAAACTATCTTGAATGGTATCTTTAAAACTGAGCTAAACACTACTTTAAGAAAAGTGAGGTCAAGGTCAAAAGAAAGGTCAAGGTTAAAAAATGTTGATGCAGTTGAATAGCTTACATCAGTATGTATCAATATATGAAGTTTGATTAAACTATCTTGAATGGTATCTTAAAAAATTGAGCTAAACACTACTTTAAGAAAAGTGAGGTCAAGGTCAAAGGAAAGGTCAAGGTCAAAAAATGTTGATGCAGTTGCATAGCTCTCATCAATATCTATCAGCACATGAAGTTTGATAAAAATATCTTGTGTAGTTTCTTTGAAACTGAGCTTTGAACAGAGCTAAACGCAAAGTGTGACGGAAGGACAGACAGAAGGACGGAAGGACGGAAGGACAGAAGGATGGAAGGACGGAAGACGGACATGACAAACACTATATGCCCCGGCCATATTCATGGCGGGGCATAAAAATGGCAAATCTTACATACTCTCAAAAACAATGACTACTAACTGGAGTCAAACTGCTTTTTCTGACAAATGAAATGAGTAATGAATACACTTTATAAGGCACCAAACCAAGCTCAAGGCCAAGATCTCAGAAATTCTTTCATATTCACAACCATACTTGCATTTTTGTTATAAACATTATAGCTTATCAATTTTCTAAAACGTGGACAAAGTTTTATTAATATCCTAATATTACAAGGACGTGGGGTTGTATACATTGTAGTTACATCACATGTTGTACCCTGTGCACAGGGACAGCTCAGTGATGGGGGGGGGGGGCAGCTCAGTGATATTGGGGGGGGGGGGGGGTTAGGAAGTGTATTTACCAAAGTGTTACAGAAATTGTTCTACCTTGGGAACAGAGACAGTACAGTGAGAATGATGGGGTTGGGGTTGGTGGATGGGGTTATATACACTGTAGATATAGCAATGTTGGTAAAGAGTTAGCATGGTAATGATGGGAGGAGGATATAGACTGTAGCTATAGAAATCTGTCTTACCTTGGGAACAGAGATAGCACAGTGATGATGACCACAGTTATGACATGGATTGGCTTGACCAGGGTATTCTGCATCACCCAGTATGGATTGGCTGGGTGGTCAAAGGTGAACCAAATGGCATGACAGACAATGGCAAACAGCCAGAAAAAGACAAAACTCAGGATCATCGTCAACCACTGAGGCCAGATCTGTCAACAAAACAAACTATGTAAGATAGGTAAAAGTCATTTAATGGACTCTTTATAATGCTTGTAGACTAGTCACCTCTCTGATTTAATACTTGTAGACTAGTCACCTCTCTGATTTAATGCTTGTAGACTAGTCACCTCTCTGATTTAATGCTTGTAGACCAGTCACCTCTCTGATTTAATGCTTGTAGACCAGTCACCTCTCTGATTTAATACTTGTAGACTAGTCACCTCTCTGATTTAATGCTTGTAGACTAATCACTCTTTGATAATGGTTGTAGACTAGTCATCTCTCTGATTTAATGCTTGTAGACTAGTCACCTCTCTGATTTAATGCTTGTAGATTAGTCACCTCCTTGATTTAATGCTTGTAGATTAGTCACCTCTCTGCTTTAATGCTTGTAGACTAGTCACCTCTCTGATTTAATGCTTGTAGACCAGTCACCTCTCTGATTTAATGCTTGTAGACTAGTCACCTCTCTGATTTAATGCTTGTAGACTAGTCACCTCTCTGATTTAATGCTTTTAGACTAGTCACTCTTTGATAATGCTTGTAGACTAGTCACCTCTCTGATTTAATGCTTGTAGACTAGTCACCTCTCTGATTTAATGCTTGTAGACTAGTCACTCTTTGATAATGCTTGTAGACTAGTCACCTCTCTGATTTAATGCTTGTAGACTAGTCACCTCTCTGATTTAATACACAACTTACCCATGAGTATGTGTCTATTGCCCCGGTAAAGAGTATGATTAAGATGAGGGACACCATCTGAGTGGTACCAAACTCCCAAATCCCCACCTGCTCTGACTGGTAGGCCTACAAAACATGTAACAATTAAGGCAATGTTTGTTTTATGGTATGGTGCATTTATGGCACTGGATGCTGTATGGTATTGTAGATTTATGGTGCTGTATGCTGTGTGGTATGATAGATTTTTGGTGCTGTATATTGTATGGTATATTTATGGTACTGTATGTTGTATGGTATGGTTCATTTATGGCATTGTATGCTGTATGGTACATTTAAGGTTCTGTATGCTGTATGGTATGGTACAGTATGCTGTATGGTATGGTACATTTATGGTACTATATGCTGTATGGTACATTTATGGTACTGTATGCTGTATGGTACATCTACGGTACTATGTGTTGTATGGTACACATATGGTACTTTTTGCAGTATACTTACAAAGTGAGCCACCCAATAGAGTATGACACTCTGATAAATGGAGTCTAGGAGTGCGAAGAAGAAACTAAAACGAGTATATTGCTACAAAAAAAAAATGTATATCATTAGTAACCTGAAAACCTTATACAACAAACAAAAGTGATGTAGGACCTTTACAACAATATTTAGCATTAGACTAAAGCTTGTCACGAACAGAACTAATGTATTCTGGCAATAAAAATTATATCATTACCATGCAATGGCATTTAAAATCACGCAATCCATATAAAAGTGTGCAGATGCAATGATTATCTTTAATATTGCTGTATTTACATTTAATATTTATTATACAAGCACATTCATAAACAATACACTCAGAATATTACATTACAATAACACAGTACATGTATCTACTTGAATTAAATTTCTAGCATCTCTGTCAAAGCTTTACACCTAAATGAAGCACACGGCAAACTATATTTAACAAGATCAGCAAATGGAGTATGCATTATTTGTATCATTTCTTTAAAGATTACAGGTGTTATTAAGTTAATGTCCCATACAAGGTGACAGAGGAGGAAATGTGCACCTGTGCTTGACCCCTGGATACATTTAACCCTTCAACTCTCACCCTGGATACAATATTTAACCCTTCAACTCTCACCCATGGCAGAACAAGTCTAAACATTCACTAGTTCCGTAGTATACCAATAGAGAGGAACATAGGGTGCCTCTTTAGTGTTAAAACTTTGTCAATGCATCATTGTTTTGTTCCAATTGTCAAATAATCATTCCCCCCCCCCCCCCCCCCCCAAGGAGTCCAATAATACAAACAAATCAATCTGACAATATATAATGAGAGGGCTGAGGATTTTTGTAAGCATTC